GGGTAACTTCATTTTAACACACATAAATAAACCTCAGAATGTGTTTGCATTTTGTATGGAGGAGTCTCTGTTTGAACTGTCTCTGTAACGTGTACAACAATCACCGCTGAATTTTTTAGAATAACCTTAGCTGTCTCGAGAAGGCCTGGGCACTAGGCACTTTCTTTCCTCCCTCTCCCTTCCTTCATTTTGGGTCACAAAAGGTGGAATGTCTATCTACATTTTGATACATATATGTGATGATCCAGGGCTTCCCAGGTGGCTCAGTGAAAAAGAAATCAGCCTGCCAACGCAGGAGACAGTTTCCATCCTTGATCCGGGAAGATCCCACATGCCTCGAAGCAAGTAAACCGGTGAGCCACAACTATTAAGGCTGTGCTCTGGAGGCCCTGGAGCTGGTGCCCCACAAGAGAAGCCGCCACAGTGAGAAAGCCAAACGCTGCAGCTGGAGAGTGGCCCCCACTCACTGCCGCCAGGGAAGCAGACAAAAAAACAAATCATTAAAAAAAAAATAGCAAACAGGCATTCGGCTCGCGCCATTTTCCAGTCTACCTGGCGGTTTGGTGTGGCTTTGTGACCTGAGTTTTGCTGATGAAATGTGCTCAGTGACGGGCACCATTCTATTGCCCTACAAAACCCCGGGTCTGGAGCAGCTCTCCCCTTCTGCTGGCTGGATGCAGATGGCAGGCCCAGGAGATAGTGGGCCCACAGGATGAAAATACACCTTGGGCCCCCGAAAGATCGTGTGGAGCAGGATTACCCTGCTCACCTCTGCAGCTATCGTACAAGTTAGGAAAAATTAACTTTTTGTCTTAGCCTCTTGAAATGTAATTGAATAATTATTTACAGCCTAGCTGAACCTAAACACTCTAAGCACCCCTGTGATTTGTGGTCACTCAGTCTTTTCTCTACTTGGTGTTTACATGAGTTCACATGTAGCTTTCTATTTTTGAAAATGTTGTGGCTGTGCTGGGTCTTCGTGGCTGTGCACGGGTTTTCTTCAGCTGTGGTGTGCGAGGCCCGCTCTAGCTGTGCTGCCGGGCTCCTCTTGCTGCGGCTCATGGGCTCAGTAGTTGTGAAGCGTGGGCTTAGTTGCTCCATGGCATGTAGGATCTTTCTGGACCAGGGATCAAACTCATGTCCCTTGCATTGGCAAGCAGATTCTTAACCACTGCCATAGGGAAGTGCCATATCTCTTGTAAGTACATTTCTATGTTATTATACAGTCTTCATAATGTAATGGTTGCAGAGTAGCTGGTTAAACTATAATTCCTTAACCATTTTATTGTGATGTTTAGTTTGCTTATTTTTTCTTCTACTTTAAATAATGCTAAACATTTTTATGCAGAAGCCAGGCTTCCCTGGTGGCTCAGAATGTAATGAATCAGCCTGCAATGCAGGAGACAGGCGACACGGATTTGATCCCTGGGTCAGGGAGATCTTTTGGAGAAGGGAATGGCTACCCACTCCAGTATTCTTGCCTGGGAAATCCCATGAACAGAGGAGCCTGGCACTATTTTGATGTGCTCATTTCCTTAGACACTGAAAGCAAAACAATTGTTACAAATTCTTAATAGTATAAACATATCGATTTGAGTTTTTAAAAATTTCTCCTTTCATTTCACGTTTGTCACTACTGAGGTTGAACACTTGTCCATGTTTGTTAGTTAGTTGTTCCTCCTCTTTTGAGAAGTTTATGTCCTACTATCTATCAGAGTCTACATTTCCTGTAGATTTTAATAATTTTAGTACTCATAGATATTACCAAGAATCAATCATCCAAAATCTCAGAAAGCATTTTATTGTCAGAACAAATATTAAGGCACAAAAATACGTCAGTTTTTTTCAAATAAAAATCTTTGAAAGTTTTGTGCTACATTCAAAGCAACGTCTTCCAAATTATACAATAATTTAATTTCTTAAATAAAAAATATACAACTTTAGCCCCTAAATTTTCTTCCCAAATACATGCTTTCCTAGTTCTAAAGAAGTTTCTTCTTGAGCTCCTATGTTATAATATACATGTCTTTAAATCTCCTTTTGTCATTTAAATACATTCTTTAGTACTCTGACCAATACATTAAACTTCTTTCTTATAAGGCGTGGTGTTTTACATTGCTTCTCACACGTTGTTGATCATACCAAGACACAAGTTCCAACACTAGGGGCTTATGAAGCTAGTATAACATGTCTCATAAACCAGGTATGTATAGTCTAGTGCAGCAGACTCAAACCCCTTTTTTAAAAAAGATATAAAAATCAATCACATGTACATCTTTTATATCTTCAGTCTTCACATTATAGTAGTGCAAATATACTGTGTTAGAGTGGGGAAGTCTAGTACTCTCTATAGGATATGTGAATGATTTTAAATATTTTCTTCACAGGAAAAGTGTAGGAACATCTCTTGGGCTCAAAAAATTCACACATTCATCTATTTTTCCTTATTTTTGAAATGAACTTTCCTTGAAAGCAGATACTAATATTCCTCTAACTTAAAACATGAAAATTCCCTTTTAAGCCAACTTCATACATCACAGAAATCTAACACAAATGGCAGAGTAAGAACATTTAGGCATTTTGCCTAGAAACACAAAGAATTGGACTCTTACCCTCAGATCCCTGCAATCATAGGGACACCCACCCTGATGGCATCCTAAGAATAAATTGGTGTGGCAGCCTCAAAGACCCTGGCCACCAGTTTCTGGAATCTGAGCAGAAGCGATGGTGATGAGCTGTAACAGTGTTCCCGACTTCTCCCCGGGGGTCCTTCACAAGATCTAAGGCGACAGTTCTGGGGCGCCCCCTCCTGGCCACGTGAGGGGGCCAAGAAGGCCCTCTGACCTGATTCAGGCTGTGAGTCATCAGTAGACAACACACTGACCACTGAGGGTGACACAGTGTATGTCCTTTGGAAAACACTTCTGATGAGGTTATCAGGAGAAAGTACTGCTTTCTGAGATGATGAGGAAAGTCCACATTCTGGTGCGCAGCTGAGCTATACAGGCACAGCATTATTGGCCTGCCAGATGCAGAAAGAAGTGCTTTCATCAGCACTATCCGGTTACATCAGAGGTGTTTGCCCTCATCACTGCGCACTTCCACCGACTCCCGACTCACACTCCACACCTCTGCGGCTGGAAGCCCGGGACTCTGCATTTCAAAATCCAACTGGGGCCGTATGAGTTGGGGATCAATCTGCTTCAAAATCTGGGGAGTGGTATCAGATACAAATGTCAGAAACAAGGAGACAATGGTCACCTCCAGCTCGGAAACAACTGGGCTGAGCACAAAATATACACTGCGATCAAAATGGACATAAACGCTGGGAAGCACCTCAGGTGGAGTCCGTTACTGTGGCAGAAACGGAAATAAGGAAGGGAACCTACATTGTCAGACATTCTTTTCTTGGGAAGGATATCCCAAAGCAAAAGCATGATGAAAGCCACACCTTTCTCAGTACAACAGGGTCCAACATTCACTATTGAAAATACAGCTGAAAGTACCTTTCAAGAGGCATTACTACTAGAAATCTTTTTTTTTTTTTTTTAAACTAACCCCTATGAAATGAGTAAATGAGAAACCAATTCAAAAGTTAGGCTTTTGAAACAAACCATTTTGTTTTGTGGCTTCACTATGGGAAAGAAAAAAAAAGGAAGGTTATAATTCAAGTGTTTGTACTGCTTAAGACTTTGATGCTTCTTCATCAAAAACTCTGAAGTCATCCTCAACTCCACAAGGTTAGAACTCATTCAAAGAAAGAAACAGAAGAGTCTAACTTTAATTCCTATTCTAAATATCCACTAGTCCTGTATCTTTGGTCAGGAAAGCAGCAAAACAGCTACCATTTCTGTCACACTGTTTCCAATGGCTTTTCAAGTTTAGCATGCTCTGCATTAAAAAAAATTTTTTTTCTAAATTTTCAAATCACACATTACATATATAATAAAATAATGTATAAAATGTCATTTAAGGTTAAAAAATTAATTACAAGATTAATAGTGATATACTTACTATACAGTTAAATACATGTATTATTACAAAACCAAACATGCTAGGATGATATAGAAGGTTCTAGTTTCCTCAAGGCTCACTGGTAATGAGCCTCCCAGCTTGCTTGGGAGGAAGCACTCCAGTGGAACCATGTGGCCAGGTGACCCCACCTGTCCCATTGCAGATTCAGCAGCAGCATGTTCACACCTGGCCTAAGGGAGGGGACAGGCGGAGCAGATTTTCAGAAGGGACCTCTCTCTCCGTGAACTGTGTTCCCCTGAGCTCAGAGATCAACGATTTGATGTGCATGGTGTGAGCTGCACCCAAGGCCTTTGCACAGACCTGTGCACACACACACACATCACACCCAGAGCAAGACTACCCATATATACATCCTTATGTTCCAACATTAATCAAGTTTCACTTCCTGGGTTGGCAAAAGAGTTCGTTCAGGTTTTCCTGTGACCTCTCATGGAACAAATGAACTTTTTGGCCAACTCAATATTACCAAATCATTTCAGCATGAAAGTCAAAGAGAATTATTATTGTAACTTATAATTATAAACCCAATAGATGGAGACACTGCTTTAACCACATCTCAGAAGAATCATATCACTGTTTTGAAGCTCAGCAGAATAGGAACGTTGATGTAATGTAAGTTATTTTAAATTGTCATATTTTTCAGGAAAAAAAAAAATAGAGAGAACCCACATGCCCAAATCCACATGTCTGCCACCCATCAGCTAAGGGTAGTAGGGAATCTATCTTTATTACAATACTTCTCTCAGATCTTTGCCAAGTAGGCAATTTAATGGACATGAAACTGGCACTCAAGGGTCAGTTTAAAAAGGGTTACAGAACCCTTCTACCATCTGAATTCTTAATTTTCATACATAGATTTCCAAGATGATGCAGTAAAAACTTGTTGCACTATATCAAAACAAAGTTTTCTTTTAGTCTTGAGGAAGTCCTTCATCATTACATAGGTTTCATTTATATGGGTTCCATCACATTATTTTTTCAGAAGAGAACATTTTTTCTGCCATTTCAGATCTGGTCATAATTTCCTTTAAAAAAAAAGCAGGAGGGGGGAGGAGATATTCATCAAAATCTTGATGCTTCTTCCAAGACCTAACACAATTCTCTACAGAGTCACTATAAAGTAGTCACAATTTTGTGCCTTCCATGCCACAATATACATAGAAATATTAGATACAAAAAATAAAAACCATATAATCCAGACTTCTACTTATGGAGTATAATCATCCAGGTATTTGTCTGACTTTACCAGTTTCTGTATTTTTCAAATTAGAAATCAATCATATGCCCCTTTAAGAGTAATTCCATGGTATATATGTCTGTAGTTATAAATCCTGGAGTCCAAAGGTCTTTTTTGATGGGGGGGGGGGGACACACATAATTATTGACTGTTTTTTCTTTATTGGAAGATAGTTGCTTTACAATGTTGTGTTGGTTTCTGCCATACATCAACATGAATCAACCACAGGTATACATATGTGCCCTCCCTCTTGACCCTCCCCCCAACTGCCCCCCCACCCCTGCTCCATCCCCCACTCTAGGCTGTCCACAGAGCACCAAGTTGAACTCCTTGTGCTATACAGCGAATTCCCACTGGCTGGCTGCTTTACATATGGCGATATATGTCTCAATGTACTCCCTCAATTCACCCCACCCTCCCCTTTCCCCGCTGCGTCCACAAGTCTGCGCTCTGCCTGTGGGTTTACTGCCACTCGATTCTGCAAACAGGTTGGGTGCAATGGTTTTGTGGCAAGGTTTATGTACACAGCAGCCTTCTTAGAAGTTCCCATCCTACTAGAATCAAATCCCCAGCCAGAGAACAGACTTACGGACACAGGGGTGGGCAGGGTGGGAGAAGGAGAAGGTGGTCTATACGGAGAGAGTAAGGAAACACATACACTAACATATGTAAAATAGCCAGTGGGAATTTGCTGTATGACAAAGCACTGAAATATCCAGGTGACCCACAACTAATTCCCCGCCCCCCCAAGAAACCTTCCTAAACCCACATCGTCTGTTCACATTTCCTACTTTGTAAATGTATGTCAGTTAGAAACTATTTCCTGCAGGAAAATATCTATAAATATAAGGAATTAATTTGGACAAACTGCCATCTTGAAGTCTTCTAAACTCTTATAACTTACGATGTTAAAAAATCAGACTCAAAACTTAATAGAATTCGTCCCTCCTCTTATACCAGTAAGCATTTATTATATATTAATATTATTATTACATGTTAGTATCTTGCTCCTGTTTTAAATGAGAATCTAGTTCCTCAAAACTTCACCCATAACTCAATGCAGAGTCTTTCAGTCTGTTTAATTTGTAATCATATAAAAAGTAACTTTCATAATTTCTTTCTGAGATTCATTTCTACTTTGTGAAAATAAGAGCTCCAAGACACAAGCAAAAATATTTTACCTCATCTGAATCCACTAACACTGGAAGAGCTCTGAAATAAAAGAAAAAAAGTCGACAAGGTTATTGAAAGTCCAGTGAATCTACAGAAGCTGAATATAAGCATATCCCACGATCCACCAATTCCCACTCCTGGAAGACACAGTTGACAGAAATGACTACCGGCGTCACCAGCAGACACACAGCACTGCTGCCCTTAACATGCTCCAGTCAGCGGACTGGGATACCACAGGGCCCTCCAACAGGAGGTGTGAAGTTCTGAGGGGTCAAGCTGTAAAACCAACACTAGTAATCTTCAGTTACAGACACCAGTGGGGCACTAGCTGTGGGAGAGTGGGGTCATGATTTGGGAGGAAAACAAGATAGTTTTTAGGGTGCTAGTGATGTTCCAGCTTTTGATCTGGTATCTGGGTGCTGGTTACATGAGTGTGCTTATATTAAAAATGCATTGAGCTATACACTTGGGCAACCAATTATATTTTTATTTTTAAGCCCCTGTAATTTTTAACTTTGAATAGCTGGACAAATGTCTTGATTAGTGATGTGCTATCTAATCTGAAAACCCACGTGTCATGTCCTTTTTTGAGAATGAAAGAGGGGTCAACAGGCTTGAGTGTAATCATCCTCTCACTATGAACCTGTATGTCACACCATCATGTGCACATTAAACAGACACCATTATAATTAAAATCACACATATTTTTAAAAAGATGGATGAGTGAACATTTACAAAAGGTGGTACTTATAGAATCAAGTAGTTAATTCCTATGTCACTGGTATTCTTGACTGGACACAAATCTGTGAAGGGTACTGGAAGCAGAAAGAATTACACAATATAACTGTTCAGAAAGAGAATACTACAGATAAAAAGAAAAGACAAATGGCCTCGGTGTGCGCTGGAGCAGCGAGAGGGAGAGCCCAAAGGTCTCAACATGAAAGTCTCATCGATGCACAATCTAACAGGTGCTACTAGCAGTGCAGCTCGTGCGAGAGACTGAAGAAGGTGAAGTGGGGGCCTCGGAGGTGTGCGGGAGGAGCCGCTTAGATGGCTCAGAACAGTACCGTTAAGGAAGATCCCGAGGAGACGACTACCTGAGGGAAATGTGGACCAGAAGCCTGGAGGCCGAGGAGAGAGCCCATCGGGCACTTGGCACCTCATTTAGAGATGAACACGAGCAGTCTCCAGAACGGTTCCTGCTGTGAGGGAAATGACCATCTAGAACTTACTAAGATGGGATCAGTGCACTGAAACGGAAGGTGAACTATGCTAAGCTGACCTTTCTCATTTATCAGAGATACAGAAAAGTCATAATATACATTATGTGAATGTCAGATAACACATTAGGTCATATGGGTTATTCATGATCTGTTTAAATTGCCCTATAACTTGCAAAACTTTTGTTCCACTCCTACAGAAACATATAAAAGGACTTCACATACACCTGGACATGAAGTCCAGTTTCTTAACTTCCTATGTAAACAGCACATGCACTTTGGGTAGCACTGAGCTAAACTTCTTATTAGACAGAAATGGTCTAAATAGGAAGTAAATGGGAGCAGGGAAACGAACAAACAGTATGTGGAGACATCCTCTCTGGCCATTCTGTTGTCTACTGTGGAAACAGCTACCTGGAATTCATGTGTCACATAGCAGCAGTCCCCAATCTTTTTGGTCCCAGGGACCGGTTTTGGGGAAGACAATTTTTCCATGGACCGGGGTGGGGACTGGGTCGGGTGGGGATGGTTTGGGGATGATTCAAGCATATTATATTTATTATGCCACCACTGATCTGATAGGAGGCAGAGCTCAGAAGGCAATGTGAGTGATGGGGAGTAGCTATAAATATAGATAAAGCTTCTCATAGTTGCCTGTCACTCACCTCCTGCCATGTGGCTAACAGGCCACAGACGAATACCAGTCCATGGCCCGAGGACTGCAGTTAGATACAGACAGTAGTCCATGGCCAGGGACTGCGGCCAGATATAGACACCAATAAAAAGGAACCCAAAGAGGCTTCCTCTGCACTCTGGTTTTCCTAAGCTCATGTTTCTCCTCCAAAAGCATTCCCACTCTACATGTTATTGTGGTTACATGTGTTTAAATAAAAAAAAGTTTGAGCTTTTCCATATTATAAAATGAAAACAAAACAAAACAAAAAAATGAAAACAAAATGACTCTGATCCTGATAAACTTATATAAAAAAAAGGAGTTGGTTATGGGCAGGAGTATTAAGAGTTGTTGTACACTAAAAGGGAAGGAGACAGACAGACCAAGGCAGGGCAATGTTTTCTTTGCATTTCAACATGAAGTTGATCTGTCCATCACTAGTGATGGAGGTCTATAGAAACATACAGAGGAGAGAGGCTTAAAAACACATAAAAAAGTATGAAAATTATCCATTTATAGGACAGCCTAAATGTTAGATTCAAACTTTAACAGAGGATATTTACACATCTGTGAATGAAGAGGGAATATTTTCCTCCACCCACTTCAAATCTTCACCCTGTAGAAATAAACATTTACATATTAGCATTTGCTGAATAACACCTGGAAGCAGAATTCTGAAATATTATATATATATATATATATATATATATAATTTAAGCATTTACATTTAAATGCATGACATTCTTTTAATTTCTACATAGCCTAAGAACTTCACTCATGCCACACAGAAACTATGCCAGAATTTTCTTAAATAGTCAAACAAACATTTGGACTTTGGATTTTTGTAATTCTCTGGTTTTAGTTAGATGCAAAGGTATTATTTTTCTGTCTTGAAAAATCACAGTAAAAATAAAGAGTTGATTTATAAGATAAGAAACAGCATGAATACTGATTTGTATTCATTGTTTTGCTTCCAGCATTCATCATGCCTAATGTGCTCATTTTATATCATGAGTTTATAATTTTTCAAAAGTAAAAGATGATGGTAGAGATATTCTAACTTTATAAAACCCTATGTATTCCAATTGTTTGTGTTTAATGCTCACTTCTCTACAGGAGAAAAGAAAAGCAAAGCAAGTCAGTTTGGGGGCTTCCCCGGTGGCTCAGATGGTAAAGAATCTGCCCGCAGTGCAGGAGACCCAGGTTCGATCCCTGGCTCTGGAAGATCCCCTGGAGAAAGGAATGGCTGCCCACTCCAGTATTCTTGCCTAGAGAATTCCACCGACAGAGAAGCCTAGTGGGCTACAGCCCATGGGGTTGCAAAGAGTCAGACATGACTGAGCGATTGACACTTTCACTTAGGGTACCTACATTTTTTTTCTACAGAAAACATGCTCATAGTCATTTTACTGAGAGTAAGAAACATAAAAGGTATACTGAATATTTTGGTTTACAATGTAAAATAAGTCCAGTTGGCTATATGGAATCCTCTGGTTCTAGCAGTAAAGATATTTTGCTTACCTAGAGAAAAAGAAAAAGCAACTGAGCCAGTACTAATAGGAACCCAAGTCTCTGAGTGAATCTCAGTGAGAAATAAGTTGATCAAGAAAAGACAAGGTTCCAAACTTCTGATCAAGGGCTGGCTACATAACTTCAAGAAATGAAAGCATTTTCCCTTGCTATACGTGCAAAAATTGAGCTTCAAAATAAACTGAGACAAATCCCTAAAATAAGAGGAAAATTTCTTAGCAAGCTGAAGGTTTAACAATTCTAACAGCAGATAACTAAAACTGTTGTACTTTATTTTCACTTGTTTGACCATGCAGCAAGTGGGATCTTAGTTCCCTGACCAGGGATAGAACCTGTGCCCCCTACAGTGGAGGCACAGTCAACCACTGGATCACCAGGGAAGTCCCAAAACTCTTGTACTTTTAAAGTTTAGTTAAATTACCATAAAACTATTCAAAGAACACACTTTAAAGAACTACTAATTACCAAAAATAAAAATTAAGAGAAGTTACCAAATCCAACAAATGAAACTGTTGCATACACCATCCATCCTGTCAGAACTTAGGTGTGTACATAAATTTTTACACTTTATTAACCACAACAGAGGTAAGAAAGCCAAATATAAAACTGTATGATAGGCATTTCCATTTTGTTTAATTACTTTCATAACTACCACTTTATGCATAAATAATGTGCACTAAACATTTTAAAACTCATTTCTACCCTACATTTTACCATTTTATTCAAGCTTATGTGGTTTAACAGTCCTCCAACAGATAAACATCATCTGAAATGGCTTCAAAGATCACTTAAAAATGCTGAAAAATTAACACAAACTTTTACTGTAACAAAGCATCTCGAGCTTTAATATGCATGTGACCCATCAATGGAATCCTGTTAAAAAGCAGATTTAGATTCAGTAGGTCTGGTATACATGTGAAATTCTGGTCCAAAGACAACACATGAAAAGCAAGGGGCTTCCCTGGCTGCACAGAGGTAAAGAATCCACCTGTCAGTGCAGGAGACATAGGGTTAATCCATGATCCAGGCAAATCCCACATGTCATGGAGCAACTAAGCCCATGTACCACAACCATTAAGCCTGCTCTCTGGAGACCTGGAGCCCGGAGACTACCGAAGCCCATGTGCCTAGAGCGCATGCTCTGCAACAAGAGAAGCCTGGACACCGCAACCAGAGTAGACCACTCACTGCAATTAGAGAAAAGTCTGAGCAGCAACCAAGACCCAGGACAGTCAAAAACAAATAAATAAAATTATGTAAAGAAAAGTGAGGGTTTACAGCAGTTGTCAGACTTAACTAGTACCACTACTTGGTAACATTTACTTTCATACAAAAAAACCTAGTAAAAAATGTTCTCTGAAAGGTTGATGAATGCAACATTCATACAGATTTCTAAAGTATTAAAGACTATTAAATATATATTATACTCACAAAATTATCAGAAGTAGCAGGTTTAGCTGTTCCATTGGAAACTGTTTTTGAGGCTCTTAATTTTATTCCTTCAGCTGTAATGAGAAACATTATAGAAATACATAAAATCATAAAATAATAATATTTTCCTTTGTAGCCTCACATTTAATAACTCTATAAAGAGACTTCTAATTTCAAAAACCTATTATATTGGAATTAATTTGGCACTAGTAAAAGACAACAAACTGGTTCCAAATCAGGAAAGGAATATGTCAAGGGTGTATATTGTCACCCTGTTTATTTAACTTATATGCAGAGTACATCGTGAGAAATGCTCAACTGGAGGAAGCACAAGGTGGAATCAAGATTGCCGGGAGAATTATCAATAACCTCAGATATGCAGATGACACCACCCTTATGACAGAAAGTGAAGAGGAACTAAAGAGCCTCTTGATGAAAGTGAAAGAGGAGAGTGAAAAAGTTGGCTTACAGCTCAACATTCAGAAAACAAAGATCATGGCATCCAGTCCCATTACTTCATGGCAAATAGATAGGGAAACAGAAGAAACAGTGACAGACTTTATTTTTGGGGGCTCCAAAATCACTGCAGCCATGAAATTAAAAGACACTTGCTCCTTGGAAGAAAAGTTATGACCAACCTAGACAGCATATTAAAAAGCAGAGACATTACTTTGTCAACAAAGGTCCATCTAGTCAAGGCTTTGGTTTTTCCAGTGGTCATGTATGGATGGGAGAGTTGGACTATAAAGAAAGTTGAGCGCTGAAGGATTGATGCTTTTGAACTGTGGTGTTGGAGAAGACTCTTGAGAGTCCCTTGGACTGCAAGGAGATCCAACCAGTCCATCCTGAAGATCAGTCCTGGGTGTTCACTGGAAGGACTGATGCTGAAGCTGAAACTCCAGTACTTTGGCCACCCGATGTGAAGAGCTGACTCACTGGAAAAGACCCTGATGCTGGGAAAGCTTGAGGGCAGGAGAACGGGATGACAGAAGATGAGATGGTTGGATGGCATCACCAACTCAACAGAGTTTCAGTAAACTCCGGAGTTGGTTGAGGACAGGGAGGCCTGGCGTGCTGTAGTCCTTGGGGTCACAAAGAACTGGACACGACTGAACTGATTGAAAAGAACATTCTTCAAAGTGTTATTGCATTGGTAAAACCATCTGAAGCAACAACAAAATCCACTGAACAATATGTGCTGATTTATTTCTGGACTCTTCTTTTAAGTTTTCTGAAATTTAATTTCCTAATTTATTAATTTATTTCTTGGACTTTATTTTGATACTCTGATACATCTCAATCCTTCTGCCAATACCACACTGTCTTGATTAGTATAACTTGAAATTTTTGTCTTGAAACCAGAGTAAGTCCATTAATTTCATCTTATTTAGACGTAATTCCCACACCATAAAATGCACCATTTTGAAGGACACACATCTGTGGATTTCAGGACAGGTGCAGAATTATGCGATCGTCACCTCTATTAGTTTCAGAAGCTTCACATCGCCACCGCCCATACCCATCAGCAGTCTCTCTCAACGCACTCCTTCCACCAGCCCCTAGCAGACACGAACCTATTCTCCATCTCCAAGGACTGATCTATTCTGGACTGTTCACGTAAATATCATCACATAACATACAATCTTTCATAATTTGTTTCTTTCATTTAGCATGCTGATTCAAGATCTACGTTGTAACTACAAGCACCGTTAGGCTCTTCCAGATCTTTTGTATTCCATGTATATTTTAAAGGGCTTCTGTGGTGGCTCAGTGGTAAAGAATCCGCCTGCCAATGCAGGAGACACAGGTTCAGTCCTTGGGTCGGGAAGATTCCCTGGAAAAGGAAATGGCAACCTACTCCAGCATTCTTGCCAGGGAAATCCCATGAATAGAGGAGCCTGGCAGGCTACAGGCCATGGGGTTGCAGAGTTAGACATGACAACAAAAACATATTTTAAATTTGCTTAATCATTCTTTTTAAAATTAGCTAGACTTACAATTGGGATTGTACTGAATCTATTACACATAAAAATTAGGGAAGTGATGGGTTAATAATACTGAGCTACAATTCATAAGCATGTTAAAGCTCTACATTTACCTATTCTATAATTTCTCTTGGTGTTTTGTATTCTTCAGTGCAGTTTTGCACATTTTTTTCCATTAAATTTATTCTTAAATATTTTATTTTTGAAGCTATTGTAAATCACATTTTAAATTTCATTTTAAAATTATTTCCAGTTGGTATGCAAAAAAAACAACTAATTTCTGTGTATTGGACATACATCTTATGACTCCATTTTATTCAGTTATTAGTTCTACCGTGTTTTTTCTTTTTCTATAGATTTCTTAGGATTTTCTACATACATAACCTTGCTGTCTACCAATACAAACAGATTTCCTTCTTTCCACACTTTATGCCTTTTGTATTCTTCAGGCCGGTTTGTGGGGTTTGCCTTTCTGCACCAGCTGGGACGGACCTCCTGCTCTGAAGCTGAGTCAAAGTGATGAGCAGTTATCTTTGTACCTGGTTTCCAGTCTTGGGAGAAAATTCACCATTTCACCACTAAGTATGATTTCAGGTGTGGAGTTTTTTCATACTGTTCTGTAATTTGTTTGCTAAATGGCTTGCTTTTTTATAAAAAAAAAAAAATGAATAGGTACTGAACTCTGTGATACATCTTTCTGTACCTATTGAGGTAATTATGTCATTTTACTACCTTATTCTTTAGATGAATTACATTGACTGTTTTCAATGAGAAAAGTCCACTTGACAATAGTGACCTTTCAATACTGTGCTAGATTTCATTTACTCATGTTTTTAAAGAAATATTATGTCTCTACTCATGAGTGATATTGGTCTGTAACTTTTTCTTTTTTGTCTTTGTTAGATTTTGGCATTTGAGCTGTGCCGGCCTCATAAAATACATTAGGAAGTATTCTTATGTCTCTATATTCTGAAGAATTTGTGTAAGATTAGAATGTTTCTTCCTTAAGTATCTGAAGCTTAGTTAAGTCATTTGGGTCTGGTGCTTTATGGGAAGATATTAAACTTCAATCCAATTTCCTTAAGAGATAAACGGCTATTTCAATTTAGTGGCATAGGGTTAGATTAGGGTAGTTTCTTAAGTGTATTTTTCAAGGAATTTGTTCATTTTATCCAAATGCCCAACGTCTTCATAATATCCCCTTACCTACTTTCTTACTGTAATAATGTCTTATCTATTTTTCCAGTGTTGGAAATTTGTCTTGCTATATTGTTGGTCTCTATTTCTGGTTTAGATTACCTAGAGGCTAATCCATTTTTATTAATCTTTTCTAAAAGAAACTACATTTGGCTTTGTTGATTTTCTCTCTTTCCCTGTTTTCTATTTCACTGATGTAGACAGTTAACTTTATTATTTCCTTCCTTCTAACTACTCCAGTTTAATTTATCACTTTTTACTAGCTTCTCAAGATGGAAACATATCATCACTGATTTTATATGTCGTTTTTTTCCTTGGTAATATAGACACTTAGAGCTATTAATTTTCTACAAATTGGTTTAGTTGCATCCTATAAAATGTGATGTTATGCTTTTATTATCATTTATTATGAAATACTTTTTACTATTCCTTCAATCCATGAGTTACTTAGAAATGTATTATTTAATTTCTAAACACTTGATTATTTTGTAGATATACTGTTATGCATCTAACTTAACCATTGTGAACATAAACACACTCTGTGATTGCAACCACTGAAATATATGGAGACATTTTTAACAGTCACTCACACAGGTTATTTTATGTAATGCAGACTTGAACACTTATTCTTCAGTTGCTAAATGTAATGGTCTATAAATATCAATCAAATCAATAAGGTCAATGGCCTTATTCAGTTCTTGTACATTGTTACACATATGTATTAATGTCTTATTAATCACTGAAGAGGAAGTGTTAAAATATCAACTTATTTGTATCTTTCTTTAGAGCTTCAAAATTCATGAACCAAAATTTGATAGAATTGTCATTGGATATATCTACATTTAGGACTACTATGTCTCCTTGATAAATTCATCATTTTATCATAAAGAAGTGACACCACACAGCCACACTAGCTTTCCAATGCTTAGTGTTTTCATGGTTTATCTTTTTCCATTCTTTCAACCTTTCTGTGACATTTTTGAGGTGTCCCTTGTAAACATCACACAGCTGAGTTTCATATTTTTTTTAACAATCTGACAATCTCTTTCTATTGAGTATTTAGTCCACTTGCATTTATTTTAATTATCAAAATAGGTTACTTAAGTCTATTTTGCTTTACTATTCAAATTGCAATTTGCTTTACTACTTTATTAAGAACTATAATACAATATTGATTTCATTTACTTCATGTCTACTATGTTATAAATCTCACATTATTATTTTTGCTACAAAAAGTTAGTTGACTTTTAAGACTTTTTAAAAAAATAGTGACTTTTTATATTTCTCCAGGTATGTACTATTCTCAGTGCTCTTCCTTCAGTCAGTTTCATTTTTGTTTCTTGATCAATTTTAGAAATTTTCTGGCCAATATTTTTTCAAATATTCTTTATGCCTCATTCTCTCTTCCTCTTCTAGAGCTCAACTATGTACCTGTTAGACTGCTTAATACTGTCTTTCTGGCCACAGAAGTCAGTTTACTTTGTTTCTAGCCTTCTGTCTCTGGTTTTCAGCTTGAACAATTTCTTTTGCTTTGTCTACAAATGCTCACCATTACTTGGTTGTGTCCAATTTACTGGTCTACTGTCAATCCTATTTCATGAATTTACTTCAGATATTCTGCTTCCCTGGTGGCTCAGAGGGTAAAGCGTCTGCCTGCAACGCGGGAGACCCAGGTTCAATCCCTGGGTTGGGAAGATCCCCTGGAGAAGGAAATGGCAACCCACTCCAGTATTCTTGCCTGGAGAATCCCATGGACAGAGGAGCCTGGTAGGCTACAGTCCACAGGGTCACAAAGAGTTGGACACAACTGAGTGACTTCACTTCCACTTTCTTTCCAATTTCTATACTTAGTATTTTTATTTGGTTCCTCCTCTTTTCTCCTGAAATCTCTCTTGCCTTCACCAATCTATTCCTATAGATTCTTTGTTGTTGTTGTTCAGTCGCTAAGTTGTGTCTGACTCTTTGTGACCCCATAGACTGTAGCACACCAGGCTTCCCTATCCTTCACCATCTGCCAGTTTTCTCTAACTCACGTCCATTGAAATAGTGATGCCATCCAACCATCTAATCTTCTGTCACCCCCTTCTCCTCTTGCCCTCAATCTTTCCCAGCATCAGGGTCTTTTCCAATGAGTCAGCTCTTTGCATCAGGTGGCCAAAGTACTGGACCTTCAGTTTCAGCACCAGTCCTTCCAATGAATATTCAGAGTTGATTTCCTTTAGGATGGACTGGTTTGATCTCTTTGCTATCCAAGGAACTCTCAATAGTCTTCTCCAGCACCACAGTTTGAAAGCATCACAGATTCTTTAACATATTTATAACAGTTATTTTAAAAGTCTTTCTTGTTAATTGTAACATCTGGGCCATTTCTAGATCACTATTGACTGATTTTTCCCTTAACTATGGGTCACAGTTTCCAGTTTCATTCCCTGTCTAATAATTTATCATTGTATATGGGATATTGAGAATGGTAACTTATAGATTCTGGACTCCCTTATCTCTGAGAAGTGTTTTGTCCTAGAAGGCATTCAGATTATGGCTGGACCACTTTAATCTTTGGGGGACATGCTTTCAGATTTTATTGGGGTTTATTTCAGTTTAGCTCTAGTCCTAGGGTCAATTTCAGTGGTCCCAGACTGTGTGGTCTTTATTTCTAAGGAGTAGCCCTTCTGGGGTTTCAATGGAAAGCCCAAGGGGTTTACCCAAGCACTTTAACTTGTTGATATTTGAATTTCAAACTCTGCAGTGGGCATGTGCTGAAATTTCTGTTCTGCTTCTTAGCCAAACAGCTATTGTTTTCCCCCTTGCCTTTTGGAGTCTCAATGCCCCTTTCAGGCATCAGACGAGATTAGAGAGACTTTTTAAAGACTGTGGAATTTCTTTCTTCGTGGCTCTCTTTTCTGGATTTCTTCTCTCAATTTCCAGGCATTCTTACATCCCCAAGCTTTACTCCCCAACTCCTTGCATCAGTGAGATTACGCCTATCAGCTTGAGCTCTAGCCTGTCTCATTGACTGGGCACACACTCTGGACAAAAGCTCTATAAATGTGGAACTTATTAAGTGCGGCTCTTTTCTTTCAACAGTGAAAGTTCTTCCAGTTTCTGCCTGCCTTTCATTGCTCTCCAGTGCCTTTAAACAATTAATTAAAAAAAAATTCTGTCCAGAGTTTATTCTAGCTATCAGCAGGAAGACTATCCAATACAATTCATTCCATCATTATTGGAGCCAGAACTAACACACTGAATTTTAATATCTCTGCTGTGAAAAATTTAGCAATCAACATTAAGAAGATCAATATTATTTGGGAGCTAAGTACAATATATACCAAATCAGTCTTGTGGAAAACAAGTGTACTGACTTCAATACTTAGACATGAAGAGCAAACAAAAGCTCCAACTATATTAACAATCTGGAAAATTTCATCACTGACTCTTCTTCTTGTGACTGTCTACTGTGACAGAGCTTTCCTCAGATACAGTCTTAAAAATATTTTACAGGAAAAAAAGTGTTGCTGACCTTGCATCACAGGTAGAGACACAATATTTCTTTGTTACAATAGTTACAGTGGTTATTTAGTAAGAAAACATATCACTCACTTAAATTTTCAGATGTTACCATGAATTCTTCAATTTCATCATCAGAATCATCTATTAAAGGCATGAAGGCATATCTAAATAAAAAACAAGCAGTAGTTTTACTAGTGTATTTAAACCTGTTCGATGTTCAGTTTACACCCAAACTGTCATTCCAGGGGCCCCTCTCCCCTCTTCCTGCGGGGAGACCCCCCCCTTACACCTCCCTTCTTTCACTGTCTGCTTTCATTGTATTTGTCTCCCCACCTGACTGTTACCTCTTGACACAATGACTACTTCTCTTGTTTCTATAAGTGCTTTTCTAACATTGGAGCAGAAGATGAACAAAATCCTTGCCCAACTATGTAAGGTACCTCTGATTATTTGCTGATGGTCTCCACAAAAACATTATGACAATAAGAATAAGTGAGAAAAGGAAGCTCCAAAATGCATCATCAACCCAGCGTTCCATCCAATCCTATAACAAGGATGATTCAAACAGGAAAAGTTAATTTTTGATAAACAGATTTCCCACTGAAATAGTATATAATGACAAGTACTAATGAAATCCTTCCAACCAGTAAGTCTTCCAAAAAATGAGATGTTTTTTCAAGAAACCTAAAAACTAAGAAATTCTATCTTAAAATCCATATTAAAGCTTAGTTGGGCCTTATAATCAATCCAATGAATAAAACCCTAACAAATTAAACAGCATCATGAAAAGAATTAGAGCTCAAAAGGGCTTTAAAGGTCAATTAATTTATTTTCTAGACAAGAAGAGTTTCTTCTCTCATGAAATTTTCCTTAAGGCAGCAAAAGTTCAGGATTTTCACAGGGCTCTTTATAATCATATAGAACTAGCAAGGAGATCAAACCAGTCAATCCTAAAGGAAATCAACCCTGAATATTCATTGGAAGGACTCATGCTGAAGCTGAAGCTCCAATACTTTGGCCACCTGATTGGAAGAGGTGACTCATTGGAAAAGACCCTGAGGCTGGGAAAGAATGAGGGCAGGAGAAGGGGAGCAGCGGAAGATGAGATGGTTGGATGGCAGCATCGACTCAAAGGGAATGAGTTTGAGCAAACTCTGAAAGATGGTGAAGGACAGGGAAGCCGGGCATGCTGCAGTCCATGGGGTCGCAGAGTCAGACTTGGGGACTGAACAACCAATATAGAACTAGAGGCTATTTCCAAATCAAGAAATCCCCAAAAGGGCCTTTTATATTTTCAGTCTAAGAAATATATCTTCTAACTAGAGAATCCAAGGAGCATACTCCTGAATGTTCATGATGGGTATACTATAAACATGTATAAAATCCTAGAAATACGTCAAGCTTAAGATTTAGAATCTCAGACACAAAGCAACCCAATCACACTATGTGCTTGAAGAAAATGATTTCTTGTTACCTTGGACTATTCAGGGAGAGGATTCCTTTTCAGAATACAACAAAAGAAGCTGAGAAAAGGGCGTAATTGGAAATGGAGATTTAGGAGGAACTTTGTTTCAGACTCGTTTAAAGGAGAAAAATGTTTTTCTAATCCTGCACAAAATAATTCCAAGTAAAGGGAGTATCTCCACTACACTTATCCTGGTCTACAAACACAAATTAAACTCTTCAAACTTACATAAAATAAAACAGTACAATTAAAAATGAAAATTATTTACACAGGAAGATTATACTTACTGATTGACATTTTGCAAACCTAAATGTCTTAGTTGTCCACACCATAAACACTACAGATGCTGAAACACACCCAAAAAAAAAAAAAAAAGTCAACCTCTGAAGGAACATATACAATATTAAAATAATTTATTATAAAAGAAAAATCAGATAACTTACCCAGTATGGCAAAGATCAGGGTATTTGTAAAGTGCCTGTATAAAGAAAATTTTACTGTGTTCTTTCTTAGTCTGAGAGTCTTCATAGTTTGTGCCAAACTTATAAAAATGTGAAAAAGAGTTAAGGGAAAAATTTTAAATAAAAATACATAGTTAAGATTAAAAAACGAAATAAGAATCTTCTGCTACATTTCCAAAACTACTGCTACACAGAGTTCCTATAATTTAAAACTAATAAAAACACAGAAAATGTCTTTTCCACTAATGTATAATCATGATAGCAATTTTATTTCAGATTTTGTTGTACAATTTACCACTGTCTGAACTAAGTAAACAGACTTCAAGGAAAAAGAATGTAAGGGACAAGACCTGTGTTGTGATCCTTCAATGCCAAGTTCTCGAAACACAGGACAGAGCAGGACACAGACTAAATGCTAGGTCCCCCTTGGGCCAGACACACTTTTCAGATGCCATCAGGACATGCCACTTGGCTTGCGGTTTTCTGTCTCCGTGTCTTTCTTATTTTTTTGTTTCTGGTCTATTCTCATTCTACCCTCTGAATGATCATAATTAAGAAGTTAAGTCATCTATCAATTCCATTTTATAAATTAAAAAATATATATATCAAGTAAAACAAATCTGGACTTAGGTAAGGACTTTGTTCAAGAGATTATTGCAATATGGAGAATATTCTGACTGTAAGATCTGTGGGCGTCCCAAAGGTCAGGCAGGGAAGAGCTTTGCTTTTATTACTGTTGTTGTTGCTTAGTTGCCAAGTCGTGTCCGACTCTTATGCAATCCCATGGACTATAGCCGGCCTGGCTCCTCTGCCCATGGGGTTTTCCAGGAAAGAATGCTGGAGTGGGTTGCCATTTCCTTTTCCAGGGGATCTTCCCGACCCAGGGATCAAACCTGCATCTCTGGCATTGGCAGGAGGGTTCTTCACCACTAAGCCACCAGGAAAGCCCTTTGCTTTTGTCAGGAGGTGTAAACAGGACTCGAGAGTGGCAGGTGTGGGAAGGGGGTGGCCTGACGGGCCAGTTGCTCAGGGCTATGATTTTCCTTGAGGCCTGTAGGTTATCAGAAAGGGCTGTGGGTGGATGAAAGCTCAGGGACCTGGGGGAAGGAGAAGGCTTAGTCAGTCTGGTGCAGTCTGACATTTTGTCCAGATTAGCCAATAGGTACATACACAGGTTTGTGTCTGGCCTTGTTGTAAGTAAACAAGGGAACACCTGGGAAGCTCACTGAAGTCCCATGGGGAAAGGCAGCTTTTGGTGTTAATAGGAAATAAGCCTTTTCCCAAACACGAACAGGTGGAGGCTGTCTTAAGCGTGGCTATCTTCCAGGAGCACAGGACTCAGGTTAACAGCAACATCGTCAGATACGAAGAAGCAGAGAGGCCTGTCCACTGGCTCCTCGGCAGTGAGGCTGTGATCAAGCCAGAGCTCTGTAAACATGATCAGCTTTCTCTGCAGCTCACCAAGCCCTGTGCAGGGATGACCCACTGAACATACATCACAGAGCTGAGCAAAAGGGGATGGAAGTGGCACATTTTAGATTTATTTATGCCTCCTCTTTAAATTCCCAATACTTCATTAATCAAAAAATTCATTTTAGCCATAAAACTACCTAAGTGCTTTTCAATTTTTCTGTGTTTCGTCGCTTCAGTCATGTCTGACTCTTTGCGATCTCAAGGACCCATAGCCTGCCAGGCTCCTCTGTCCATGGGATTCTCCCAAGAAGAATACCAGAGTGGGTTGCCATGCCTTCCTTCCGGGGATCTTCCTGACCCAGGGATTAAACCTGTGTCTCCTGCATTGCAGGCAAGTTCTTTACCACTGATGCGAAGAGCTGACTCATTGGAAAAGACCCTGATATTGGGAAAGACTGAGGGCAGGAGGAGAAGAGGGAGACAGAGGATGAGATGGTTGGACGGCATCACCAATTCAATGGACATGAATTTGAGCAAACTCTGGGAGATGGTGAACGATGGGAAGTCTGGTGTGCTGCAGTCCATGGGGTCGCAAAGAGTTGGACACAATTGAGCGAATGAATAACAACAAATGACCCATTAAGTTGCAACAGAAGATCAATTTCTATCAGAACACAATTCAACCAACTAAGGTTGCTGTCAGGACTTACAGAGATGGACATACACATTATTCAATAAACAGGATCAAGACCGAACACGTTTAAAGCAGTAGTGAAAGCACGCAGGCCCCACCATCCTGACAGGAGTCACCGTGCACGCGCTGCTGCCGTGGCTGGAAAAGGATATCCACCAGCACAAGCCAGAGTCAAGAAGAGACAGAGGCAGGCTGGCCAGAAGCACAAGGTCAGAGTCATGTGCCTGCAGCAAAAGAGCAAAACAAAAGAGATGAAACAAGCAGGAAGAGAGGCGGGGGCAGCAGCGTTCCAGCGTCTTCAGGCTCCTCTTTCTTACTGTGGGTAACATCAGATTCTGACAGAAGCGGCCAGACCAGGTTCACCGAAAGCAAAGGCAGCACGGCCATGATCCCAGCCCTTGGCTCCACCAGGACCCGGCCCTGCTTCTTTGCTTGTCCCTGGTAATCGTTGAGGAAACCCACTGCCTCTGTACAGAGAGAGTGGGCTTTTCTTCTCAGTAACGAAAACTACCAAACAGCAATCCAAGAGCAGACATCAGAAATTCAGGTTGAACTTCCTTTTCTCTCACCATAAAATGCAAACCGAGAGAATTTCAATTTCTGGATATCTTTACGACTTTGATCTCTGACATCTTTATTAAAAATATCAATAATTGAGCAAGCTAAATCTTTCCCCTTATTTTCTGTATCTCCCCGGCTCAATCTGGCTCATGATGTGTTGGACCAAAGCCAAAGTTGTCCATAAAGGTGGCAAGTTACCCTCATTCAAATCCAGATGGAATTAAAGCGCTTATAGCCACTTTTCTCTGGAATTTTCTGCCAATTTGCATGAGTGTGTGTTTTTCCCAATGAACTACCTTGTGGGTGGTTAAGAGCAAGAATTCTTTGAAACACACATCTGTAAATGACCAGTAGAAAAGATAACATAGGTTTTTAAAATGCAAAGTCTGGAGCTCAAGTAGTTGATGGAGGAACATATGCTTCCTCACATAAGCATACCCAAGCTTAGAAATAAGACAATTCCAAACCAAACAAATATCTTAAGCTCATTTTCTAAACATGCAAGGACAGCAGAGAAGACACGAAGGTTAGCGATGGTAATGCTGAGCCCTGCTAGCAGCTAGTTTGTGTTGTGTGCTCAGTTGCTCAGTCGTGTCCAACTCTCAATGACCCATGGACTCTACCCTACCAGACTCCTCTGTCCACGGGATCCTCCGGGCAAGAATACTGGCGTAGCTTGTCATTTCCTCCTCCACGGGATCTTCCTGACCCAGGGATCAAGCCCGAGTCTCCTGCATTGGCAGGCAGATTCTTTACCACTGAGCCACCAGGGAAACCCAGTAGCTAGTTCACCTCCCCTGCAGTTCTGCTTGTCCAGGTCCCAGGGTAAAGTCTTAATCTCTGGACTGCAAGTCCTCTGACGCTTTTTTTAAAAAGTCATCTTGAGTTCTCTCTTAGAAGATTTCATCATGCCATTCACCTGTGCAGCTTCAACTCCTTGATATTTTCTACCTTCAGAGAACTCTAAACTCTTAAGCATGTCCTTGTCTCTTTCCCTTCTGGCCCCACCTTCTAAGATTCTCCCACACAAGGTACTTACAGGCAAGCTGGTTTGAGATATTCTGCCACTGTCTCTATATTTTCTTGCTCCCAACGATTTGGTCCCCTCATATCTTCTCAGAATGCTTTCCCCCCAGTTCTTTTCCCATGCGTGCATGCTAACTTGCTTCAATCGTGTCTGACTCTTTGCGATCCTACGGACTGTAGCCCACCAGGCTCCTCTGTCCACAGGATTTCCCAGGCAAGAATACTGGAGTGGGTTGCCATGCCCTCCCCCAGGGGATCTTCCCAACTCAAGGATCAAACCTGCATCTCTTAAGTCTCCTGCACTGGCAGGTGGGTTCTTTACCACTAGTGCCCCCTGGGAAACCCTAATTCTTTTCCTAGTAAATTCCCATTTGTCCATGCAGTCTCAATTTAAATGTCACCATCTCCCTGAAATCTTTCTGGACTGTCAGCCTGCAATTAATTCCTCTTTCCTGTTTGCAAAGCATCTCGGTAAAATGGCAATTACTATTGCTATGTTGCTCCTAGTTAAGTATTTGTCTCCTCTACCTGATTCCTCAGTATGTTCATTTAAGTTTGCTAAACTAATAGAAAAAATAAAGATTTTTTTAAATTGAGGAATTGTTATTTTTTCATCTTCAACTAAATTCCTATAACGCATAACTATATTTCTCTCTGGTATTATTACAAATTAAAAATAATATGATTTTGATGACACAACAACAATTTTAGGACACAGTAAAGGATATGAACCATACAAAAATGGAGTCAATAACTGCTAAAATAATGTCACCAAGGACAACAGCTAAATGGTTAGAACCCTGAAAAAGAAAAATAAGGGAAAAATCTGAATGTAAAAATTTCATTATAATAATTATCTCTGATGAAGAAAAACAGTTTATCTCCTCATCATTTTACAAAAGGCTACATATATAAAAGATTTTTTTGCCTAACAGAATTGTATTTGAGCACATGGTATTTATCTGTTTCAGCAGCCACAAATGTTAGTTTGTCATCAGCCTGTCTAGTGATAATGTAAAAATCCTATTATGGGGTGGCAAATAAAACAAGCATGTCCCACCCAACTCAGGTCAACCATTTCTCTCTCTGCCCTCTTCTGACCAAACCTGCAGCCACGGCTCCTAAAGCAATGGGCTCCTCCTCTTTCCCCCTCAAGTGAAAGGATGTGAAAAAGGTAAAATAAGGAAAAGGAACTGCAACCACAGACTGGATGCATACTCCACTCAAGAGCTGACAGAGAATCACACCCAAAACTGTCACATCTAAGATGCTGACCACGTCAAATTTTAAAGAAACACCTCATCGATCCATGGAATGTTTATCCTCCTTTCTATTTTCTTCCCAGCAAAGATAAGCTTTTATGAATTATATATGTAAATAGAAAGTTCTTCACTATCATGTAAAAGTAATAATAAATGCACCTTTCAAGGAGTCAGAGATGAAGAGAACAGTTGTCTCTACTCAGAATGCACTATGTCAAAGACACTGGAAGAAGGGTGAGGCTTTTAACATTACTGGACAAATGCCCGGCTTTAAAACATCAGATCAAACTATGTGAAGTAAGTGTATGTGGCAACGTACAGATTATTCACTCTGTGCGCAACGGTCTGATTTCAGTATCTAACCCAAAAAACGTTTTAAGTAAAAATTACACAGTTCTCTGAATCAAACAAAAATATAAAAAGCTCCTTAATCACTAAGTCATCAAACATATTACGAAGGAAAACCAAGAGCTAGACATCTAGGGGTCTTTGCAGATACAAACACTCGCTCTTCTCTGGGGTAAACTACTGCTGCCCTGGCTGCCAGAGCCATTTCTTCCTAGAACACTACCTCGTCCTGGTTCCTCCAGAAGTAGGGCCACTGAGTCCCCTCAATACTGAGCCCGCCAGAGTCAGGGAAATGGACAACTACCTGACACTTAAAGGAGCGATGACACGTAATGTCTGCACGCACAGAAGGTAAAATTAACTTTCTGCTCACTTACACATGCTTAAACAAAGGGTTAAGGAAGAAATGAACGTGTTCAGGCTGTAATGATAAAGATGAACATTCTTCAATAAAGAACAGCCATGAACACTTTTGAGATGGGACTATTAATTCCTAGGATGATACCAGGTGGTGCCTTCATCATCATATCATTTTAAAAAGTGCTCTGGTTAGCCTTTTACTTTCAGGACATATAAAAAAAGAGAAATAGTCTACAGGGCGCGGGAGGGGGTACTCAAAATTGGGCCTTTTTCACAAATTTCCTGTCTTTAAAAATTCATCTCAGGAGATAAGAAAGTAAAATCGAATTTCACAGCAACAACAAAAAAAGTGCAAGTGGAATGATGCAGTTTTTACCCCAATGACTCTCATCACGCCTTCAATAGCCGCAAAGATAAAATAAAGAACCCCCAATCCAATGACCCGGTGCATGACGGTTCCTAGACGAGGCCTAGAATGAGGAGGAGGAAACAGGAAAAAAGAAAAAGATAAGTAAAACGCATCTGAATACAGTAACTGGCCCCATTTCCAACACCAAGGACGTGACCATCCAATCACATCAGTCAGCTCCTACCATAGAGGGATTCGTTTAAAACAGGATTAATCCCCGGGAACAAGGCAGAAACAGGCTCAAGAAAAATAGGCCTCCTTCTCTAGGACTTGAAACTGTATCGATGCCTGTGAAACAACATTTAAAACAAAAACTGTTTGTTTATGGCTGCACTGGGTCTCTGTTGCTGTGCGTGGGCTTTCTCTCGCTGCAGAGCTCCTCTCTAGCGGCGGGCGGCTTCTCTGTTGCAGAGCACAGGCTCCATGGCGTGCGGGCTTCAGCAGGTGCAGAGGGAGGGCTCCAAAGGGCCACTCCCGGCTCTAGCACACAGGTGCAGTGGTTGTGGAGCACGGGCTTAGCTGCGCTGTGTCACATGCAATCTTTCTGGACCAGGGATTGAACTGGTGTCCCCTGCATTGCAAGGCAGATTCTTAACCACTGGACCACCGGAGGCAACATTTCTGAGACCAGAAGATTTTGCTGCTGAAATCCAAGCAGTATAATTAACATAACCCAAGTACTATGTCTACAGAATGGATGAGAAGATTAATGAAACCTAGTAAGTGCCAACTTCTAAGGGTAACTGGCAGAACTAATCCTTTAAGTCTTTCACGAAGATACACTGTAAACCGTTCTGAGATGTGTTTTGTCAGAGATAATCCACTATTTTATGTGGATTTTATTTTATTCTATGACGTGGGCAGAGAAAGAGCAGGATGTCAGGAAATCAAATCCCACCACTCTCTCTCTCAATACCTCCAAACAAGAGTCCTAACAGACTTCAGTTTTCATTCTTCAAATTAAAAAGGATTAAAATAACAGTTTGGATTCTTTGAAAGTATAACTGAGTCAGGAATATGCAAAGATGATGGTTTTTAGCAATTGGCAATTTGAAAATAGAACTGAAATTTCTGGAATTCCCTGGTGTCTAGTGGTTAGGACTCAGCACATGCAATGCCAAGGCCCAGGTTTGATCCCTGGTCAGGGAACTAGATCCCACATGCTGCAACTAAGAGTTCACATGCCACAACTAAAGATCCTGCATGCCACAACTAAGACCCACCATAGCCAATTAAATAAATAAATATTTTTTTTAAAAAAAGATGTAACTGTGGTTCAGTGTGAAGGTTTGAGCTTCTGGGAATCAGAGTCTTAGAGAACAGACTCCTCCATGTTCACAACCAGGGAGTCAAAGGTAAGAGGGAGAAAAGATCTTGATAGGATCTGCAGGGGATAGCCAGGCTTCAGACAAAAACTCTGCTGACCTGGTGTTTAATCAGAGCATGCTCTCTTACAATATCTCAAACACAATCATAACACCCAACTGTGCTGCCTAGGAAACCAGAAAATGACCTGAGCCTCAAGAATCATCTAAAATTTTCCATTATCCTTAAAGTTGATTATTCATCTAATTATAAAGTTACTGGAACTTAGGATCTTTATTTGAGGAAAGTATAAAACAGCTGGGCTTCCCAGGTAGCATTAGTGGTAAAGAATTTGCCTGCCAATGCAGGAGAGTGGAGAGATAAGAGACATGCTTTAGACCCCTGGGTTGGGAAGATCCCCGGAGGAGGAAATGGCAACCCACTCCAGTATACCTGCCTGGAGAATCCCATGGAGAGAGGACCCTGGCAGGCTACAGTCCATGGGCTTGCAAAGAGTCGGACACGACTGAAGCAACTGAGCACGCACGCATGAAACAGCCAGTGCACGGAAATCCATTAAAGGCACTTCCCTGGTGGTCCAGTGGGTAAAAATCCACTTTTCAATGCAGGGGGGCACAAGTTCAATCCCAGGCCAGGGAACTAAGGTCCTACATGCCTCGGGCAACTAAGCCTGTGCCGCAACTAGAGAGCCTGTGCGTTCTGGAGCCCTCACCTAGAGAAGCCCACGATGCAACAAAGACCCCAAGTGCCACAATTAGGGCCTGATGCCCTTAATTGATGAAAAAATTTTAAGTCCCTTAAAAAACACATCCTGGCAGGTATTTCCCTCTGGGATTTTTGTTTCGATACTGAGAGGTGTCCAGCTTCACAGGGGCTATCATGGAGACGGGACGCGATCACAGGGTAGAGGTGCGGGGTCTTTCCCACTTACTTTACGATGCCATATCCCAAGCTCACGATGATCACCAGGAGGCGAGCCAGAGTCCTCTTAATCGCAGATATCAACTCCGCAAATATCAGTAACCCTTGGGCTGATGGGGAAGAAGGAAAACCATTGCTCTGGGTCCACCTGGACGCCTGTTGCTAAGTCTACACATGTACTATGTACAACTATATTCTGACCTCAGATGAATTAGCCACATTTAAATTTAAAGGTCATTTAAATTTAAAGGTCATCTAATCTAATGCTGTTTGCAACCTCAGTGAAGAATTCGCTCTGAATCTGATCGGCTCTATGAGGTGCGGTTTTCTCAAGTCCACCGGAAACCTGTCTCCTCGAGCTCCCTTCTGTTCTTACTCTTCCACTTGCGGCTATAAAGAACTAGACCTCTTTAGTAGCAGCACTCACTCACTTTTATCTGACTCTGCAACCCCATGGACTGCCAGGCTCGCTCCTCTATCCATGGAATTCTCTAGGCAAGAATACTGGAGTGAGTTGCCATTCCCTTCTCCAAGGGATCTTCCTGACCCAGGGATCGAACCCAGGTCTCCTGGGTTCTTGCAGATTCTTAACCGTCTGAACCAGCAGGGAAGCCCAGAGTCCTTTCCTGTCCTGTAAATATTTGAAAACCATAATGTCCTCAAGAGCTCTCTTTTCTCCAGGTTGCCCCCATCATTTACTGATTTCCGCTCCTACTGTGTGGTTGTCACAGGAAAAGAAACACTGTGTTCCCTGCCCTTGTGAGGCCTGGACTCTGGGCAGGACAGAATACAACAAGAGCTGGAGGAAACAGTCTGTGTCCCAGGATGGCAAGAAAAGCGACCTACACCTCATGGGGCAGGAAAAGCTTCTCAGAAGTGACATCTACACCAGGGTTTGAAGCTGTTGTTGCTGTTGTTTAGTTGCTAAGTTGTGTCCAACTCTTTGCAACCCCATGGACTGCAGCACGCCAGGCTTCCCTGTTCTTAACTATCTCCCAGAGCTTGCTCAAACTCATGTCTGCTGAGTCAGTGATGCCATCCAACCATCTCATCCTCTGTCAACCTCCTTCTCCTTCTGCCTTCATTCTCTTCCAGCTTCAGGGTATTTTACAAATGAGTCAGCTCTTCGCATCAGCCAAAGTATTGTCGCTTCAGCTTCAGCATCAGTCCTTCCAATGAATGTTCAGGGTTGATTTCCTTTAGGATAGACTGGTTTGATCTCCGTGCAGTCCAAGGGACTTGATGGAGGTTGAAGGCTGAGTAGGAGTTAACTGTTCAGAGGAGGGGAAGGGGAAAAGCAAAAGAAATGGCACATGCAGAGGCATGAAGGAAGAAAGAGAAAAAGCAAAATATGCTGCAAGATGGAACTTCCCTGGAGGTCCAGTGGTTAAGATTCTGCGCTTCCACTGCAGAAGGTGTGGGTTAGATCCCTGGTCAGGGAAGTGAGATCCTGCATGCCTCACAGCATGGCTAAAAAAAAATGCTGCAAGATGTGAAAATTTGGCAGGTCTGCAGCAAGGCATGTAATGAGAGAGGTCAAAATGAGACTGGGACAGAGGCATGGTCCATTCACCTGGGTTTTATGCCAGGCCATGAGTCTGGTCTTGCTGCTAAGGTCAATGGGAAGTCAACGACAATAAAAAAATAAGAGTGGGACTTCACTGGTGCTCCAGTAGCTAAAACTCCTCGCTCCCAATACAGGTGGCCCAGGTTCAACCAATGGTCAGGAAACTATATCATACAGGGAACAACTAAAAGTTTGCATGCCACAGCTAAAGCTCCCCACATGTTGTACAACTAAGACCCAGAGCAGTCAAAGAAATAAATAAAAATAAGTCACAAAAAAAAGCGTGAAAAATGCATCGACAAACTACAGCCTACAGGCCAAATCTGGCCTGACATGTGCTTTGTAAATAAAGTTTTATTGGAGAATGTAGCCATGTCCATTTGTTGTCTGTGGCATCCTTCAGCTCCTAAGACAGTAGTTGAGAAGGTGCAACAGAGCCAACAAAGTCAAAAATATCTCCTGTGTAGGTTTTGCAGGAAGAGCTTGCTGACCCTTAGAATAAAACGGACAGCTTTATTTTATCAAGATTGCTCTACTTAATGGCTTGGAAAGGAATAGACTATAGGACAGGAAAATGCTTAGGAGGCGACTCCAGAATCCAGCCAAGAAATGATGAGAGCTCTGGCAGTGAAGACAGAAAGGAGGAAAAAGACACTCAGAAACCAGCTGTTAATCCACCTAATTATTCTTTTCAGCTCACATTTCTCCATCCTGTCCAGAAGAAACCACAGGAGACCTCATCCCATACCGTGAAGAAGTTCAGATACACTGTGGAGTAAGTTTGTTGCATTTGCCTAACTGCCCAACTGCAACACAAGTGAAGTGACCTGTCCCTAATGCGTCCTTGTTGGGTCCTAACAATCACTGTTTCTTCACTGCTTGATTTTTCCAGATTCTGTCCTTCCAGGACCAATGCTAAGCAAGACAGCCTGGCTTACAGAGTGCACACTTGGGGAAATCAGGAACATCAGCCCAGGCTCTGTCTAGTACCTCTCTTTTCCACAGGACTCCTCAAAGACAAGGACAGCTGCCTGGGCTTTCTCTTCCGAGCCTTGGTGGAGGCACCTCAGAGGGCTTGAAGGCCCTGAGGATGGCAGGTGGGCTCTCCTTCTCTTCATGGATCTCAGGCTTTTGCTGCCCCTCACCCAAGTTCACACCACCTTCTCTAGACAGAGACCCCCTCACCACTGGCAGCAAAGAAGCTGACCTACCTCCTCTGACACTCAAGGATGCTTTAACACCCAGTCATAAGTGGCAACTTACCCTTTCTTCCTCATTTGGTTTAGGGCGGGCACGCGCGCACACACACACACACACATGCTTATACATCACTAAAACTCCTTAGAGAGTAATAACACCCCCAACATGCCTCACGAGATGTATGTCTTTGCTTTATTGTTTTGTATGTTGTCCTTTAAAACTTTTCATTTTTGAGAAACTACAATACAGTTTTCTCTCTCTCCAACAGAGAAAGCAGTATAATGAACTCCCAGGTACTATCACTCGGCATCAATACTTATCAACATTATGTTGTATTTATCTCATCTACATACCAACTCACCCTTTCTTCCCCAGAGGATTTTAAAATAAAGAACCATGTAACTACACCCTTTGAAAATCTGCACCATGACCATTTGTAACTGACTATTTGAGTACATCCTGAGTGCTTTCTATCCTTTTGAGCGATCTCTCTTTCAAAGGTGCAGCGATGAAATTAATTATATCTTTACTTTTCTGGCCACCTCCCACTTTTTTTTTTACAAGCCACACTGCGAGGCATACGGGATCTTAGTTCCCTAAGCAGGGATCAAACCTGTGCTCCCTGCACTAGAAGCACAGAGTCTTAACCACTGGAAGGGAAGCCCCTCTGTACAGACAGTCCACTCTATTTAAGCAGTCTGGGGCACACATCTGAAGATGCCCAACTGAATGCCCGGCCGGTGTCCCCCGTCCCACGTTCTGCTGTGTGAACTGGGACGGTGCCTCCCACGGTCACATAAAGTTCTTTGTAAAAGGCTGCAGGCACCATCCATTCTACACTGCTCATCTGACTCCTGTGGCCAAGCTTTCTTTTCTTTTTTGTTGGGGAAAGGAGAAGAAAGAGGATGGATGAAAAAAAGAGAAATATGTTAAAAGGACCGGTAGCACCCAAGTCCCCAGGCCAGAATTTTGTACTGCTTTAAGCCAGTCACTGGCAGCTGAACCTTAGGGAATTTTCTTCTCCCCAGGAGGGAAGTACGGGAAAGTCAGCAAGAATACAGAAAGCAAAGACCATACACATACTATCCTAGTTCAAAGACCTACTTTGACACTCTTCTTGGCTTCTGTCCTTTTCATCTATACTATGGTTGTTCCCAAACCACAAGATGAAGGTGAAGGGGAGTCCCCTCTGCTCTGCTCACAAATGCTAGGAGGCTCTTGGGTTATACCATGTTCATGGACACAGTCACTACTTACTTGATAGCCCAGTGCTGTTGATGTTTTGGTATTCAGCATAAAAAACTGCTTTTTCAAGCATTCCCAGGAAAATAACAGCTGCAATCCAGAACTGGATTCTTAATATATCTTTCCAGTAACAGGCAGACCACATCAGCCACAGAACACCATATAAGATATAAACAATACACATCACCATGTAGAACTGTGGGAAGAGAAGCAATTTTAGTCCATTAAACCTTCTGATCATTTGAAAACTGAGATTCCCAGGAAACAGAAAAGACCCTGAATAGCCAAGGAAAGGAAAACAAAGCTGGAGAACTCAGGCTCCCTAACTTCAAACTGCACTACAAGGTCACAATTGCAGCAGTGCGGCACGGCGCAAAGCTGAAAGCTGGCATTTCTACATTCAAGTTTGCAATCCTTTATTTTCCAGTGACCATGGAACCAGAAATAGAGGGTATGTCAGTGTTAGCTACTAAGGAACCACTGCTACTGGCCTCTTAAAATTTTTGAATATTCTAATTAGGATACAAAACTCATTTTTAAAAAAAGGAAAAAAATTATCAGAGATACTCACAATCATTAGAGGCCAATCTGATGCAGAGATATATCCATAAGGTCCCAACATAGAAAGAGAAACTAGAGAAGGTAGGATGGGGATAAAGAAATTAAGGTATTAAAATTAATAGGCTTTTTTTAAGTTTTTCAACGTAAGCTCATTCTAAGGCTCAAGAATATAAACCAAGTGAACAAACACTAAATTTTCACCTAGCACACACAAAGTACTGGGCAATTACTAGCTGTTTGACTCTGTAACCTTATCAAGATATCTTTACTTACAGAAATGCGGTTATACAACATGGGCGCAGCTGACGCTCAGGCGGACAGCAAAGCAGTCCCGGTGGGAGACTGGCCCTGGCTGAGTCCCTGACCCCACTGAGGACTCTGCCTTTCGTAACGTGACCCGGAAATTACTGAGCTCCAGAATCTAGTTTGGGTTGTCGTCTGAGACAGCAGTAACAGAGTGGCAGACACAGCGCACGACTTGCAGGGCTCAGCAGCTGCGCCATTCTCTGCTCAGCAGCAGCTTAAAACCGCCTTCTGCTATCAGGGAAAGAAAGGCGGTGGGGAGCAGGCTGGCAGCGGGGCCCCTGCCACCTGTGCGGCATGGTCTGGCCCATTACAGCACCTCCAGGAGGAAGCCCTGCTTCGCCTTCTCCAGAGCAGCCCTTTACCAGCTTCAGCGGGAGGAACAGCTCTGGGTCTCCTCCGAAGCCATGCCTGTCTCATCTTACTGCTTTCTCCCGCCCCTTTGGACGGCGTGCCCCTGAGACAGACGGTGGCTTCACCTGTGTCCAGTGGGTGGGTCAGGGCGGTCTGCAAACGCCCGGGATGCTCACATGCTGTTTGGCTGCTGTCAGCCCAGCGGAGTCCCAGCCTAGGAAGTGAGTGAGTGACAAGGCGATTCCAGGACCTCTGAGGGCACCTGCCCCCTTGAAAGATGCTTGATGCAAGCCTGGGCTCACACCAGGCACCAGGGGCCACAGCTTCACGTAGCAGAGGGTCGACCTCACTGGGCAGGCAGGGGAGCTCAGGGCACAGAAGCCACAGTTGCCAGAGATGCTACTTCTACTCCTAGGCGACCAACACATGTGTTTTACTTCTTTTTTAAACTTTTTAAAGAATAAAATTTTAAACCCCTAATGATGGCCATTTTTAAGAAACAGAATATAATCTATTTCAACTACAATTAGGGTGTTGCCCACCCACTTCTACATGCTAAAAAATTTTTCTTTTAATCTGGAGAATTTTGTACCCCTCCATGAAGTTAAAAATTTTTTTAATTTAGCTTAAATTAATTTTAAATTTCTAGTCTCTTAAAAAAAATAAATATTAGAGTTAAGATAAGCATAAAGTTTTAAGTCCCCAAAATAAACAGATTATTCATTTTTGTGATTAAAGAAATTTCTTTTTGAATAATGTATTTTAACAGAGAATGTAGAATTAAAGACAAAAATACAGAGTTAAAGACAAAAATACAGAACACAGTAAAAACAGACTGTAAACATGCATACTGTTTAACTATACCGTTCAAACTCCAGCTTGCATCTGTTTTTTCTGTTTTAACAGAAACAATAAAGATATGAAACCCATCTCTTTGTGTTTTGGCTACAACATCCTGAAACAGGAAAAAAAATCCTTTAAGTTATTTTTTAAAATTGCTTTACAAGATATAGCTAACAACTGTTCACCATGTTTTAAATCAACTGTTAAGAATCGAACTGGGGGGACTTCCCTGGTGGTCCAGTGGTTAAGAATCCACGTTTGGATGCAGGGGATGCAGGTCTGACCCCTGGTCGGGGAACTAAGATTCCACATGCCAGCAGCAACCAAGCCTCTGTGCTGCGACTACTGAGTCTGCATCCCAGCGCCTGTGCTCCGCAACGAGAGAAGCCTAAGTGCCACGACTAGAAAAAGACTGCGTATTGCAGCAAAGAACCCTGGCACCATAAGGCAGACCCAATGCAGCTAAAAAAAGGAACTGGGCTCCTTACACACACACACACACACACACACACACACTCATAAAAGGAGAGGCAGGCTGTAGAAGGATAGTGGGGAGTAGAAGCATTTCCTCCATTTTTTTTTAACCACCATCCTTCCAGACCCAAAGGATGGAGGAAAGAAAAAGCCTTTCCACTTGCCAATATTTTCTACTTCTTATATTTCTACAGGTTTCCTCTTAAAGCTACCATTCTATATTTAGTATTACCTTTCAAGTAGTTTTTCTAATATCATCAAGCATTTGGTTTTTAAATGTGTGTGTTTTAAAACTGAACAGGGGAAGAAAGATGTCATATAACATGATTGAAAATGACTCAGATACAGTATAGAGGCTAAAACAGGGGTCCTCAACTCCCCGGGCCACAAAGCAGTACCAGTCTGTGGGCTGTTAGGACTGGGCCACACAGTAGGAGGTAAGCGGTGGGAGAGTGAGCAAAGCTTTCTGTATTTACAGCTGTTCCCCATTGCTGACATTACTGCCTGAGCTCTGACTGGCAGATCAGTGGTCGCATATAAATGCAATGTCCTTGGGTCATCCTGAAACCATGCCCCACCCCTGGTCCATGGACAAATTGTCTTCCACGAAACCAGTCCCTGGTACCAAAAAGGTTAGGAACTGCTGGGCTAAGCTATTTAAATTAAATGCCTGCTGAGCACTTTGTTGCGAGAGTTCAGACCCACTGAGAAGCTGACCCGCCCGCCTGGGAACTGCCTGGGACCCTCCAACACCCCCATGTAGTTGGACCAAACTTTTCACACGCCTCCTTCCTGAGTACTTCCTAGTCTTCCCTGTCATTTCCTCCTCCTCCACCTGTGACAGCATGTGTACGAAGCAGAGCAGGGTCAGCACCAATGCAGACTGAACGCCTTTCCACCATTAGACTGTTCCGTAAAATGGCTGCAGAAGACCATACAAGTAGACAGTCCCGGTCTAAATGCAAGCCTCAAGCTCTCCTAAGTCTGCTTTCGGTCCCTACACTCAACTTTCTGTAACCCTCTCAACTTCTTAGTCTCCTGACTTTAATAATGCCCCCCGATTCTAAATTTTTCCTCCACCTGGTGCTACATCGTAGTTTCTGTCTCTTTGTTTCCCTAAAGACGATACCGACTAGCCCACTGCTGCGCTAAGGCATGTGACAGGGGGATTTTATTTTTTAAAGTAAAGGAAGACTACATAGAAGCTACCCTTAAATTATAGCTTTAAACAGATTTTTTAAACAAAGAAACAAGTATGTACAAAATTCACACAGACATGTGTAACAAAATACACTGTTTTAAATTACATTTCTTTTTTTCTTTCCTAATTTTACTCACCCTACTTAAGATCATGAGTATCTATCCATCAGCAAATTCTGCTCAATCTTACTCTAACTTGTATACATCTGATTTAAAGGCAAAGAAAGTGACTTACTGTTGATCCTTCCTGGTTTGAAACATTTCCAGTATTTGATATTAGTTGTTTATTCTGGAAAAAAGAACGAAATAATTCCATTTTATACTGTTGCATTTCCTGAGGAAAAATAGTTCTAACAAATTGAGGGCAAAAAAAAAGCTGTTACAAAAAAAGGTAAAGATTTGAAGGCTGAACACCAGAGAACAAAGCTCACTGTGCGCTTGCGACAAAAGCCTAGGCTTGAAAAATGACTTTCTGCCCCAGGGCAGTGTTTCCATTGGTGGCGGGGTGGGGGGGGGGGGGGGCCGGGGGCGGGGACCAAAAGTGCTCCGATGGTCTACACTTGATCTGGCCCATGGGGGCAGGTTCAGGCTGTGAAAATTCGTTAAGCCTTACACTTCTGATATGCATGCTTTATTTTATGTTTATTATACCTCAACACAAATTTTTAAAAGAAACCTTTGAAAAAACTTTTCTTTTAGATTTTTAAAAAAATATTTATTTGGCTGCGCCAGGTCTTAGTCACGGCGCTTGGGATCTTCAGTCTTCACTGAGGCAAGCGGGGTCTCAGCTATGGCACGGGGGAGCTGGTTCCCTGACCAGGGACTGAACCCTCTGGACCATAGCGCAAGTCCCCAAAATTTTTATTAAAGACATTTTCACTTCAGAATTTACCGGACAAAAAAATTCACTTAAAATGACCCACAGCCTCACTACCCAGGGATGATCACTACTAACATTTTGGAGTCTAGTCTTCCAGGTTTAGTGCACAGAGGAGAGTGTTCAGGTGTGTTAAATGCTGGTAAGCTGACAGACCTTCAGTAAGAGCAACAGATGTGGGATCTAATGACATGGAGGTCACTGATAGCCTTGACTAGAGCTATTCTGATGGGGTGAGGCTGGCAAAGACCCGACTGGGGTGGGCAGAAGAGAGAGGGATGCAGTGACAGCAGATCATGAAAGGATGATAAAAAGATCCTCTTTCAAGGATGCTGCTGCACAGGGTACAAAGGCATGAAACAGTGGTACCAATCTCACTTACTATGTACTGCCACACACAGAACTAAACCTAAAAACTGATGAGTTAAGACCTTTCTTTATCACAATACTGGTGAAACAGAAGTTAAATAGATACTTATATTCACTGGGAAACAAATATATCTGATCTCAACACAGAGAGACAGATACTCACATTCAATGGGGGAAACACCTGTAAATCACTGCTGCACTCTACATTTTCATTTTTTGTTGTCCAGCATTCACTGTTCTTGAAATAATGAGCACAAAAGTCTTCAGTGACCTGAAGTTCATGTTTCTGTGACAGCTCCTATGCAAGGTAAAGTTCTATGTCATAATTTATTTTCACTTAGTATCTAAACAATACCAAAAATTTACTTTGTTTGGAACACTTGAAGCATTCAGTAGAACAAAATACCAAAAAGAAAAAAAGCTTTGCATATAATTTTGCATATAATACTTTGTCCTGAGATTACTTTCATTCTACTCCATGTATAAAGGATTTTAGAGAAAGAAGCAGTATTCAATTACAAGGAAAGATAAACCAAACACATACTAACATAAAGCAAAGATGGCAAAACCCAAGTGAGTGCAGGGGAAATTTCATTTACACATCAACTAACAATGAGGTTCCAGGCTCCTGGGTGGATAAATAAAACCAGGCTCCTAATGGCAGCTTCCGGGTATCAAGAAAAGATTAAGAGGCTTTCACTGGCCAAATGGAATGCCATGGACATGAGTTTAAACAGACTCTGGGAGATGGTGACGAACAGGGAGGCCTGGCGTGCTGCAGTTGATGGGGTCACAGAGTCGGACACAACTGAGCCACGACAACTGGCCAAATATGGGACAACGTGAGCAAAATACATAAAAACAGTTAGAGATCATAACCCACCCGACAAACTAAACATCAGCGAGTCCATCTTGACAACTGACTGACTGACAGATAAGGTAAAGGAAAAGAGAGAGTGCATTCTGACAGCAGGCTGCTAGTAAATGTGGAAGAAAACACGGAATTAAGAGAATCACCATTTAGCAGTCATCCTGTGTGTCAGGGCTAAGTCGATTCGGTCGTGTCTGACTCTTTGTGACCCTATGAACTGGAGCCCACCAGACTCTTCCGTCCATGGGATTCTCCAGGCAAGAACACTGGACGGGGCTGCCCTTCCCTTCTCCAGGGAACCCTCCTGACCCAGGGTTCGAACCTGCATCTCTTACATCTGCCTGCACTGTCCACTGGGCTATTTACCGCCAGCACCGCCTGGGAAGCCCCAGCAATCACCACAGTAACAACTAATCAATCAGGCAAGAACCAAAGAGCATTAAAGCAAGGACTGGTGGAAAAAACAGGATATTTACACGTAAATATAAAAGTATTTCTTCACAAATTATTGTTAACAACAGAGAGAAAAGTAGCAGCTTTACAGTGAAAAACTGACAGAAACTTCCTTAACTGACTGAGCAAATTAACATCATCAAAAATGGGACAAAACAGTATATTTTCTAGTGCGTGCATGCTAAGTCGCTTCAGCCGTGTCTGACTCTTTGTGACCCCATGGACAGTAGCCTGCCAGGCTCCTCTATCCATGAGATTCTCCAGGCAAGAATACTGGAGTGGGTTGCCATTTCCTTCTCCAGGGTATGGTATGTCTGACAAAAATATAACCTGAATTTATTCATGAGAAAATGTGAGAAACACTCAAATTGAGGGACATTTTATAAAAATAAATCAGTTGTACATATCAATGTCATGTTATGAATGACAGCTGCCCCCCCCCCCAAAAAAAAACCCTGCAGAAATACAATGTGATCCTGGATTGGATTCTGTATCAGAAAAAAGAAAAAAAAAAAGCTGCTAAAAAGGACATTCTTGGGACACTGGCAAAATCTGAATAAGATTTGTTTATCAGCTAATAGGGTAGTACCAACATTAGATGTCCTAAATCTGATGTTTATGCAATCTAAGCGAATATTTTTGTGATTTCCTTAGGAAGCACACACTGACCTAGGCTGGCCTCTTTTTTCTCCTTTCACAATTTCCCGTCTCCCTCCTCACTTCTTGATGAGATCTACTCATACTCATGAAATCTGTCCACCTGCACTAAAGCCCTAGGTCCCCTGCTACTCATTTTCTGAATGGATGAAATTTTTACATTTCTTCTTTAAATTAAGTTGGTTTTTATTTATGTATGATTCACAATCCCTTTATCAATGGTTCCTATAACTCTGATTTAAATAATTACTAATGTTTTTCATAAGATACAAGGAAACTGATAGATTTGTATAGTTAGAAAGCATATATTTTGACATAATTAAAGCATTTATTGTTAAGTCCCAAAATAAATCTGTGGCACTTCTAAAACTACAGTCTCTATTTCTAGACTCCTCACTTGATGAGCAAAAAATCTTTACACTCTGTAACTTTTCCTTCATAGCTTTACACTCATTTAAAATTCGAGTTTTACTTACTTCCAACTCAGAATATTCACTGTGACAGGTATGACGCTCCAAGTGCCACTCGATGGAAAACTTCACGGGCCCGGGGCAGTTGAATGACTTCACTGTTGAGAAAAAGACAGTCTCACTTTATAGTGACAATGTTGTAAATAATATCATACACCCCAATTTAAATTTCAGGTTTCAAGAATTCAACTTAAAATAGGCTACTTTAAGGAAACAATGAGTAAAATGTTACCCAATTCCTCCAAAAAGTCACCGCAGAATGAGACAGATAAGTTCATTACACTAAATTATCACAGTGAACCAAATGTTGCTGTAAGACTAGCCATTTCATCTATAAGTTAAGTCCAGTGTTAAAATAAACTGAGTAACCGGATATGCTCAGTCACTGTTTATCTCACTCTGAAATGTTCTCTTCACTGACTTATCCACCCAAGAAGTACTGAGTAAGTAGCCCTTGTGTGCCAGGAAGAAACATAATGGTAAACTAGAATAATCCCTGGATGCCTGACAAAAGAGGAATTAGCAGAAAGGAGGGTTAACAGTTAAACAGGCACCTTTGACAGTGGAAGAGGCTGAGAACAGGGGATCAAGCGAGCCCTGGGCAAGGTGCCTGAGACAGTCACGCGGGCGTGAAGAATGGGGCCCCAGCAGGCTCATGAAGAAAGAAGTCTGCCCAATGAAGAGAAGGGTGGACAGACAGGAGAAGCAAAGGCCAGGAGGCATGAGGGCAAGGCAGAAGTATGACCGCCTGAGGCAGTTTGCTAAGGAGTGCGGGGTCACCTAAGGGAAAGCCCGATGTCTGACCCACCAAACAGCATAGACGCATGTCCAAGGGACCAATGCCTAACTTCGCAGGCACTAAAATTTCACTTTGTGAGAACTCAGAGATGCTGTCTCCTCTTCTGCACTACAGCTGTACATGTATAAACCCAAATACCCAATTGCTCACTTAAAATAAATAGTTAACTATAAAGTAGACATGCCATGATCGACTAACTCTCTTCAACAAGCCTTCCTGGACGCCCAGTGTGATGAGAAGGCTGCCTGGTGAGCACGGCAGCAGAACAAGGAGGCTGAGGTGCCGCATCCACCCCTGCCAGCCACCTGTCAGAGCCTCGGTCACGGCTCAAGAAAGACCTCTCGCCCACCAGCGCTGAGGCACTGCCGGCTTTCCACTTTTTAAAAGTGTTTCTGTTCCCGACACCCCCGCTGCCTCACTCTTCCCCCCGTTAGGGATGTGGACACTGGACCGTGGCCCACTGTGAGGCTGCTCCCACGCATTCACACTCTGCTGCACGCTCGCTCAGGCATGTCGCCCCCTGCGCCCCCACGGACTGCGGCCCGCCAGGCTCCCCTGCCCACGGGTTCTCCAGGCAAGAACCCTGGCGTGGGTGGCCACTTCCTCCTCCAGGGGGTCTCCCGACCCAGGGATGGAACCCGGCCTCCTGAGGCCCCTGCACTGCCGGCGATTCTTTACCGCTCGAGCCATAAAAACCAAACTCTCTGTTTCACTGCTCCACATAACCCTTTACTCCCCCAGAGCTGTTTTTTTTTTGTCTGCACCAGTGTTTGAAATCTGTCTAGACACTGTGACATGAATTTATTAAAGCACTGAGATGCCAAAATCTTTTCCTCACCCACCGTGGGCTTTGATTTATTCTTACCAAGTTCTTATCACCAACTGAAGATCTATGATCTCAGGCACTGCTTTGAAGCCGCCTCTGCTTTCTAGCCAATGACTCGCCTACTTCCATCAGCAGAGACCACACAGGGCAGAACAGTCCAACAGATGATCAGAGGATGGTGTGAGAGAGAAAATGGGCATGGCTGTGGAATCCATGAAGCCAAGTGGCTCTACCCAACAAAAAAAAACTACTCCTTATCCCCAAACGTTAGCCCTGGCAACCAACTGACCTAGTCAACTTCCTGGAAACACTAAGAGGAATGAGAGCCCAGTAGACCCACTGAGTTTACCATAAAACACTGAGATCCAGTGTAAACCACTTGCTGTTATTTAGTCCCTAAGTCGTCTCCAACTCTGCAAATCCACGGACTGCAGCCCCCCAGGCTCCTCTGTCCATGGGATTCTCCAGGCAAGAATAGTGGCGTGGGTTGCCATTTCCACCTCCAGGGGATCTTCCCCACCCAGGGACCAAAGCCGCATCTCCTGCATTGATAGGCAGGTTCTTCACTGCTGAGCCACTAGAGAAGGCTGGAAACCCACTCAACTTACTGAAAACCTCCCCGTCAATGACTTGTTAGTCATGACATACCGGTATTCAGACAGAGTCCCGAGCAGCACTTTCGCTTTCATAAGCCCTAAAATCCTAATTATCAGTGTCTAGTAATTTTTATTTCAGACTATAATCATGTATATTTAGACAGATTTCAGAGGCACAAAGGTTTCATCACAATCATGGCATTTCCTGTATCCATAAAAAAATGTATTATACTTTAAAAGGGATTCAAAGTCAAATTTCACAGAAGTGAAATTTTTTTTGCTGAAGATTCCTTTATTAGGCTGTAACTATAATTTTTAAAGAATGATTCATATTTCATTTTCTGAGACAAGATTAGAAAAATCCATTCTTGAAAATAATTACAATTTGACTAGATCAAGAGAGACTCTTAAAATGTTATAATCACCTAAAAACATCTGCCTAGTTTAAAACACATAATATTATACTGTGTCATGTTAGTTTATATTATGCTAATATATTAGCTTATATTATATGTTGCTTACTTATAATTTATTGTTACTTCAGTATTATATTAGATTATTATACTTACCAGAAAACTTGATCTCAGTAGAGTTAAACATGGTTTTCCTAAATATCAAAGGTCCTGATTTCTGTAATGAGAAACAAAGAAATACAGAAAGATCTTGTTAGGGACGTCCCTCGTGGTCCAGTGGCTAGGATTCCCTGCTCCCCAAGCTGGGGGCCAGGTTTGATCCCTGGTCAGAAAACTAGATCCCACATCTAACTAGTAACTAGCTAACTAGCCACAACTAATATCCGGTGCAGCCAAATTAAGAAATAAATATACTGGACTTCCCTGGTGGTAAGTGGATAAGAACCCAGCTGCCAGTGCAGGAGCCCTGGTTTGATCCCTGATCTGGGAAATTGCATATGCCGCAGAACCACGAGGCCCGGGTGCCACTAGCGCCCACTCGCCCAGAGCCCATGCTCTGCAACGAGAAGCCGCCGCAATGAGAAGCCCACGCACTGCAACTAGAGAGTAGCCCCTACTCGCTGCAACTGGAGAAAACTCTCGCACAGCAACGAAGATTCACCGCAGCCAAAATATATATATATAAATACGTATTTTAAAAAACTAATAAAGAAAAATCTTGTTAAAACATTTCTCTCTACTGTTTAAAAGTACTGTTGTATTCTGGAAAATAGGCTAAGCACCAAATAACTGATGTTTTTGAATTGTGCTGCCGGAGAATATTTTTGAGAGTCCCTTGGACTGCAAGACTGAACCATGAATCCTAAAGGAAATCAACCCTGAGTATTCATTGGGAGGACTGATGCTAAAGCTGAAGTTCCAATCCTTTGGCCCTCTGATGCGAAGAGCCAATTCACTGGAAAAGACCCTAATGTTGGGAAAGATTGAAGGCAAAAGAAGAAGAGGATGACAAAGGATGAGATGGTTGGATGGCATCACTGACTCAATGGACATGAATCTGAGCAAACTCTGGGAGATGGTGAAGGATAGAGAAGCCTGGTATGCTGCAGCCGATGGATCACAAAGAGTCGTACACGACTTAGCGACTGAACAACAATCCTTTCACTCCTCCCTGTGACCAAATCAATTATTATTTTTTTAATATAAGTCTGGGACTTTCCTGGTGGTCCAGTGGTTAAGACAACATGCTTCCAATGCAGACGGCACAGGTTTGATCCCTGGTGGGGGAACTAAGATCCCACATGCTGTGTGGTCAAAAAGAGGAAAAACAAAGCAACCCATAAACCTGGTCCCATCACTGCCTGGCTTAGAGCCTTGTCCCATGTGACCTACTCCCTGCAGCGGACGTGAGGCCCCACAAGGCTCACAGCCTGAGGCCAGCAGGACACAGTAGCTGAGGGAGGGCTGCGTGTCTGTGCGTCTGCGCCTGCTCTCCTGGCATCAACATAAACGCACCTTTGATGAAACTGCTGGCCTCTGAGCTGTGGCGTACCGCCCTCTCTGTGTGCGCTCAGTCATGTCTGACTCTTCGACGCTCCATGGACTGTGCGCCACCAGGCCCCTCTGTCTATGGGATTTCCCACCCAATAAGGAAGCGGGTTGCCATTTCCTTCTCCAAGACTTCCCGATCCAGGGATCAAACTTGCGTTTCTTGCATCTCCTGTGCTGGCAGGCAGATTCTTTACCACTGCGCTATACCACAAGACAGGGGGGCAGACCACCTGTCTTGTACCTTTCCCTCCAGTCCTCAAAAACATAATGCTCCTTCCAGCCCTCAGGACCTTAGCAGTCAACCTGAAAACTTACATGAAAATTTACTCTTCCTCTAGTTATTTCCTTCTGACCCTTTAACGCCCAGTTCAAAATCCCCTTCCTCGGGGCATCTTCCACCAGGGCCCATACCAGGCCGGCCCCCCCTTCCAAGGTTTGTGGGACCCATTCCTCACATCCCTTACCACAACTACGATGAAATCTTGTACTAGCTGGTATTTCATGTCTGGCCTCAGTCAGTTTAGTCACTCAGTCATGTCCAACTCGTTGCAACCCCATGGACTGCAGCATGCCAGTCTTCCCGGTCCATCACCAACTCCTGGAGTGTGCTCAAACTCATGCCCATTGAGTCAGTGATGCCATCCAACCATCTCATCCTCTGTCATCCCCTTCTCCTTCTGCCCTCAATCTTTCCCAGCATCAGGTTCTTCACATCAGGTAGCCAAAGTACTGGTGTTTCAGCTTCAGTATCAGTCCTTTCACTGAATATTCAACTAATTTCCTTTAGGATTGACTGGTTTGATCCATGTCTGCCCTCCCCAAGAATAAAAATTCTGTGAGAAGAGATTAAGTTAAGCGAACAAGTGGTTAGGAATTACAGGAAAACCCTGACAGGAGAAATGGTTTTTTCTCGATAACCCTTTTCCCTCCCTGACGGTTTTTTCAAGATTTTTTTTTTAATGCAGATCATTCTTTTTAAAAGTCTTTATTGAATTCGCTACAATATTGCTTCTGTTTTATCTTTTGGGTTTTTGTCCTTGAGGAATGTAGGATCTTAACTCCCCAACCAGGAATCAAACCTACACCCCCTGCATTAGAAGGTTCACTCTTAACCACTGGACCACCAAAGAAATCCCATCCCTCCTCAACAGTTTCAACATCAATAAATCCCTGGTCCAGATCCCTCCTCTGAGCTGCACGTCCACATGCCCAATTACCTAAAGGTCATGCCCTCTGGGATGCCCACCACTGTCCACAGTCCCCTGCACTAAACGCACGCCTCCCCCTCTGCTCCTCACCAGCCATTCCTGCGCTGACCAGCGGGGCTGTCTGCAGGCTCTGCCGTCCCCTGTCACTCAAGCCATGGCTCCGTCTGGTCTCTCACCTCCATCACCCCATCTCCAAGGCACGCCTACTTCACCTCACAGACACTTCTCAGATTCAGCCCTTTCTCTCCATCCCTGCAGGGCTTCCCTGGTGGCTCAGCGGTAGAGAATCCACCTGCCCATGCAGGAGATGTGGGTTCAGTCCCTGCGTTGAGAAGGCCCCCCAGAGGAGGAAATGGCAACCCACTCCAGTATTCTTGCCTGGAAAATCCCATGGACAGAGGAGCCTGAAAGACTTCAGTCCATGGGGGCCACAAAGAGTCAGTCATGGCTGAGTGACAAAGCAAACACCCACTCTATTCCTGCCGCCACTGGCCTGATTCAAGCCTACACTTACTGGTGCCTCCGCTCAGACTGCAGCCTACAATTCATCCTCAGATAACAGCCACCGTGAGTACCAGGAATGTCTAAAACTCTTCCATGGCTTGCTCTCATTCACACTCCCAAGTTGCTACTGGTGGCCAACATATAAATTCAACCTACAAAATGGGTTATGTTGGGCCCACAAGGAGCCTTTTAAAACTTTTCTGAATTAGTTGACATAGTAAAAATATATGAACTTCCCTGGCGGTCCAGAGGTTAAGATTCTGCACTTTCCCTGCAGGGAGTGAGGGTTTGACACCTGGTTGGGGAACTAAGATCCCACACGCTGTGCGGCGCAGCCAAAAAAAGATAAAACCGTGTCGACCGCCCTATAGCATCCACAGCCAGAGCTGAATGGCAAGTGCCCTCTTCAGCAATGGCATGTCATGTGCAGTTCACAGCATTACTCACCAGCCCCAAACCTACTTTGCTTCACTCACGACAGGACTTGCCTCAGCCCCCACAGGTCCTTGAGTTTGAGACCCCTGGCCACAGGCTCAAGGCCAAGCTCAGGGATGGAAGGCTTACGGTGGTCCAATCCCAACTAACACTCCTGCCTTCAGTCAGCAGACTCACCAAGAGTTTCTACACGGCTGCTGTTATACTCGCCACCTCCTCTTCATCTACGCATCCTTTCAGAGTCAGCCGGGCACCAACTCCAAAAAGCGGGGTTAGGTGATTTCCTCAGTGCTCCAGTAATATCCCAAGAATGCCACCGTGTGTGTATTTACTACCCACGAATCTGCTTTCCCTACCACTGTGTGAGCTTCTTGAGAGAGGCGGCTGTGTCTAAAATACATTCTTCCAACAGCGATGGCCAATGTAGTGCATGGCACATGGTAGGCAGGCACTTAAACTGCTGACCTTTACAATCGAAAGAACCACTTCTGGATGAATTTGCAGGAAAAATGAAAGAAAACTACACTTTCCTTTCCAGTTCTCCACAACAAGTCTTGACAATCTGAAATAGGGGAGGGAAAGAAAAATCAGCCTACCCTTTGCAAAAAGCTTTATGGATTGCTACTGTTCTGAATGACACAGGGCTAAAGATCACCTGGGGCTTCCCTAGAGGCTCAGCGGTAAAAAATCCACATATCAATGCAAGAGACATGGGTTCGATCCCTGGGTCAGGAAGATCCCCTGGAGAAGGAAATGATAATCCACTCTAGTATCCTTGCCTGGGAAACCCCATGGACAGGGGAGCCTAGGGGGTTACAGTCCATGGGATTAGAAAAGAGGATCACATGACTGAGCGACTAAACAACAAAAATAAAGATTATGTGGGATCCAAAGAAAAATTTTCTTTCTCACACAAGAAGCAAAGTTATTTTCTCCCCATGGCTTTAGGAATCTCCCTATCCAAAGTGTACTTGGCAAAGATCTTGACAGATATGGTGAAGGAGTCTGTTTGCAGCCAATTTACTTCCAATTTATTCTGACTTAGTTTATGCTATTGCCCATTCACTACAGAAGCAGCAGGAAACCTTAAGTGTAGTTCTCTGTGAAGGAAAGTTACTTGGCTCAAAATAGCCAAGTAACCTGGAGTTAAAACTCCCCTCCAGGTCCTCCCCACGGTTCTATGCAAAACAAAGAACTCTCTCACCTGAAGAAAAAAAATGGACATTAAGGTTGATTACGCCCAGCTCCCAGCAAGTCCAGCCTCTGGCTGATCTCCAGAATTCCTTGCCCCAGCCGTTTAAGAGATAACTACTCTGAAAAACCGTGGAGAAGAACAGGCCCCCTTAAGGCAGTAGCTTTCCACATACACGCCTACATATGCTTACTCTTTTCTTGGGTTAGTGCAGCAGCTCACTAATCTGACTGCTGCCCCTTCTCGCCTCATTAAAGGTGATCTATTCCTGTAAAGTGCAGGTCTCCTTCTTTTTCTGAACCTCACCTTCCCTAACTCCCTTACCTTACACTCTGAATTTTGCTTTTTACTGTTCAGAGAAATTCAATAATGGAGATATGCAGGGCCTATGACTGGTACACAAAATAGGGCACCAACCCAGAAGAATCCTGGAAGAAATGGTTGCACTGGGTCTTAAAGATTCAGAAAGATAAGCACTCTAGCCTCTGTGTAGCTTTTGTGCTATAGGAAGAATTTGTAGTCTCCTACACTACTTTCGTTTTCTGATTGAAGAAATCAAAACGTAAGTTTTGCCTTTAGAATTCGGACATCCAGACTTCCCAGGTGGTCCAGAGATAAACAATCTGCCTGCCAATGCAGGCGACACGGGTTGGCTCCCTGGTCCGGGAAAATCCCGTACGCTGCAGGCTCACCACGACCACTGAGGCTCCAGTCCTAGAGGCCCTGCTCCACAGCAAGAGAAGCCTCTGCAGCGAGAGGCCTGAGCACCTCAACTAGAAGCAGCCCCCTCTCACAGCAAACAGAAAACCCACAGGCAGCAAGGGAGGCGCAGCGCAGCCAGAAACAAAAATAATAAAAAGAATTCAGACATCGCTTCTATCCAGGTGGAGAATATTCATCTCAAACAGAGATGGATGAATCATCTGACTCTAGAAGAGCGGTAGGTAAGGCCTTTTCGATTTCCTGTCCCTCTTTAGCAAATCTTTCCAGAATCCTACCCCGGCATTCATCCCACAACATGAGACACGAAACTACCGGATGTCAAGTTCTCAAATGGCCTGCTCTGGAAAGGAAGACACGGGCTCAAGCCTCCGGACTAGCCTTGCAAATGTCCTTTAATTACACATACTCCCAGAACTGTGATAGGAGCCCGACAGAAATTCAGAAACCCACAAAGAGGGAAAGGCAGCGGCATGACTATTGCCTGTTCCCTTCTGGAAGGAAGGAAGAAGGAAGAAAAAGGGAGGGAGGAAGGAAGAAAGAGAAAGAGAGGGATAAAGACGAACACGCTTTATAAATGCATACGGAAACTGAAACCCTGGAAAGTCCTTCCTGTGGCCACGCAGGTGTGGCCCTGTGGCTGCACCCCGGCATGAGGAGGGGTCAAATCCAACGATGCCGCTGGGAGTGCCGAGGGGTTCAGGGCTCACTTCAGTCGCTCAGTCGTGTCCGACTCAGGGCTCAGGTCTGAATAAAGAAGGGCCTGATCTAGCCAGAGCCTGTCCGAGCAGAGCGAGAGGCCAGGACTTCGGGAAAGGTGATTTTCACTAACAGGGTTCAGAAGGGAGAGCCGCCCCCCTGCACAGAAGTCTGACTCATCTTCCCCAAAGGCCAGGTCTGACCGAAGGAGGGGGCGCTCCCTGCCCACAGCGGACAAAAGGCCCAGGAAACCCATCGGGCGCCCAGACTTGGCCAGATGAACAAGCCCGGGACTGGCTCCCAGCGGGCCCCAGAGAACCCCGCGGGCCCGAGATGCGCCTCGCCTCGGGCCCGACATTCCGCTTACGTCACTGATCGTCGCGGTCCAGAGCCCGATCTCGGGGACGGCGCCCACAGCCGCCGGGCCGCAGCACAGGAGGCAGAGGGCGAAGCGCAGCAGCGGGCGCCCGGCGGTAAGACGGCGGCGGGGCGGGAGCCAGACACCGTCGGGGCAGACGGCAGCCATCTTTACGCGGAAGCCGCACCTGGCGCTCCGCCACACCGCGAGCCCGCACCTGGTGCAGGCCCGCCCCGGGAGGCGGGTTCGGGCCCAGGAAGTATGGATAGGACGTGGAGGCGGGGCTCAGGGCTGGCTGGGGCGGAGAGTAGCAGCGGGGGCCAGAGCACCAAGAGTAGAGGGGGAGGGGCGGGGGCGGGGGAAATCCGAGCGTGGAGGTGGGGCCAGGCGGGGAGGCGGGGCCCGGAGAGGAGGCGAGGGGCGGGGCTCAGGGCCGGCCGGGGCGGAGAGTGGGCGGGGTGGGCAGAGCTTGAAATGTGAGGGGGAGGGGCGGGGAGGCGGGGCCCGGAGAGGACGCGAGGGGCGGGGCTCAGGGCCGGCCGGGGCGTGGAGCTTGAGGTGGGGCAAGAGCGTGGAAAGAAAAAGGGGCGGGGAGGAAGACTGGTCCAAATATGAAGGCGGGGCGGGGCAGGGAGGGAGCCAGCAGAGGAGGCGAGGGGAGGGGCTCAGCGTTGGGCAGGAGTGTGGAAGCGGGTAGGAGGGGAGGCGGAGTTCTGAACATGCCTGAGCTGGAGGTGGCTTTAGCCAGAGGCCGAAAGCTCAGGTCCCAGACTCCACGTGGTTGTGGTCGGAGGCTTTTGTTGTTGTTCCGGCGCCCAGTCGTGTCCAGACTCTTTCCGATCCAATGGACTGCAGCAGGCCAAGCCTCCCTGTCCCTCATCATCTCCTGGAGTTTGCCCAAGTTCATGTTCATTGAATCCGTGATGCAATCCAGTCATCTCATCCTCTGACGCCCTCTTCTTGTTCTGCCCTCAATCTTTCCCAGCATATAAAATATAAAGTTTTAACAAATAGAGAAACTTAAGTGGATGGCAATGTCTGTATGAGGATTAATAGTTAGTTGAACAACATAACCAAAAAATACTGATTAGTAGATTAAAAAAAAAAAAATCTTTCCCAGCATCAGGGACTTTTCCAATGAGTCATCTGTTCGCAACATATGACCAAAATACTGGAGCTTCAACTTCAGCATCAGTCCTTCTAGTGAATATTCAGGAGTGATCTCCCTTAAGATTGACGGGTTTGATCTCCTTGCTGTCCAAGGGACTTTCGGGAGTCTTGGAGAAGACACAGCACAGTTCAAAGGTATCAATTCTTTGGCGTTCTGCCTTCTTTATAGTCCAGCTCCCACTACCATATGTGACCATTGGGAAGACCATAGCCTTGACTATACAGACCATTGTTGGCAGAGTAATGTCTCTGCTTTTCAACACACTGTTTCTGTTTGTCATCGCTTTCCTGCCAAGAAGCAATCGTCTTCTGATTTCATGGCTGCAGTCACGGTCCGCAGTGATCTTGGAGTCCAAGAAGAGGAAATCTGCCACTACTTCCACCTTTTCCCCTTCTATCTGCCATGCAGTAATGCGGCCAGATGCCATGATCTTAGTTTTTTTAATATTTAGTCTTAAGCCGGCTCTTTCTCTCTGCTCCTTCACCCTCATCAAGTGGCTCTTTAGTTCCTCTTCGCTTTCTGTCATCAGACTAGTATCATCCACATATCTGAGGTTGTTGATGTTTCTCCCACCTCTGTTGATTCCAGCTTGTAACAGCCAGCCTGTCATTTCCCATGATGTGCTCAGTGTATAGGTTAAACAAACAGGGTGACAGAGGCTTATAGGGTGGAGCTACTAGTTAAAGTTCTCTGTGTGATTCAGTTTCTTGGATCCTTTGCATTTGTTCATACCCCAAGACCCTCATCTTGGGGGAAACAAATTGTTTTACAAATTCATGGTGCGTGCCTGCAAAGTGTTTTGAGGTTGGGTCAGTTGAACCCAAGGCACTGTATTGTGAGTATATTGTCAGTGGGATGGTTAATAATTTTTAGAACAAATGCAGTTGCCTGGTTACTGTTTAAAGCTCAGAGGGGCAAAGCTTTTGTCTGTCTTAATTGTTTACTTCACCAGGCATTTTCGACTGTGAAAAGTGAATAACTACCTTGCTATCAAAGAGAACTGCAGTTGTTCATTCATTATTAAATGTAAATAATGTCCAGAGGGAGAATGAAATCCTATTTTAACAGTCATTAATGTAAAATATGATCAATTTATAGTCAAGAGGAACTGGCCTTATCAGTCACCCTGTGCTGTGCTATGCTTAGTCGCTCAGTTGTGTCCGATTCTTTATAACCTCATGGACTATAGCCCTCCAGGCTCCTCTATCCATGGAGATTCTCCAGGCAAGAATACTGGAGTGGGTTGCCATGCCTTCTTCCAGGTAATCTTCCCATCCCGGGGATCAAACCCAGGTCTCCCACATTGCAGGCGGATTCTTTACTGTCTGAGCCACCAGGAATCAATTCGTCACTTTAGTCACTTATTTAGCGAGTAATTATTGAGAGCCTGCAGTGCAGTATGTGTGTGCTCAGTGATGTCAGACTCTTTGCAACCCCACAGACTGTAGCCCACCAGGTTCCTCCATCCATGGGATTTTCCAGGCAAGGATAATGGCATGGGTTGCTGTTTCCTCTTCCAAAGGATTTTCCTGACCCAGGGTTCTAACCTATGTCTCCTGTGTCTCCCGCATTGGCAGGCAGATTATTTACCACTGAGCCACCTGAAAACTGCATTGAGAGCCTAATGCATAATAAAGACTGCACGTGCATTCCACCTGTGCCTTTCCCAGCAAGTAGTTGATATCATTGCTATGTGGATGGAAATAATAGCCTATGCCAAGGGCCTGGAGGAACAGAAAGACCTACCAGATGACTAGTTATTGGTGTGAGATGGACAGTGGGAAGGCTGGGAATATTTAAACAGTAGTAGAATATCAGTGTCCTCCTAAGCAGTTTAGTCTAAGACATCAGTGAGGCAGTAAGGGTTCTTAAGCAAGGAGGATGAAGTGACCAGATCATTTTGGTTATCATATGGAAACTATTAAGGAGGGTGATGAGATGATCAGTTAAGAATACATCAATGCTTTGTAGGACCAGTGAAGAATAAATTACAGTAATTCAGAGATGATGGTTTCAACCACAGAAGCATCAGTGAGAATGGGGATTTGGATGGATTCCACAGATATGTGAGGTGGAGACTTTAAAAAACAAACAAACAAACAAAAACAAAACAAAACCCTTGGTGATAGATTAGATACCGGAGCTTAGGAAAGAGAGGAGTTGATGCTGGAACCAAGGTTTCTGGCTGGAATAAGTGAGTTGTGGAATAAGTGAGTTGTGGAGGAGAAGAAAAGTTAGGGGATCTAGGACCAGAGGGCTCCACAAAGGGATAGTTCATTTGGGCAACTGTACATTGGGGAAAGAGGAATACCCCCCCCAAAAAAAGAGGGATACCCAAACAATTCAAGAAATATTGGACAGAGTCTGAGCTGCTGTTGGCTTGCTATTGGAATGGGAGGCCTAAGGGGCCAGGTAATAAATAGAGTCTGGAGTATAACTGGAATATGCATAGCTGATAGCTGACACTATCTAACACTGGTCCTTGGTGTCTAGGAGAAGAGTTGTTTTAGTGGAGATGGCTAAGTAGAAGCCTCTGAATCTGCCCCGATGACCAAAGCATCTTATCTCCTGGGGGGAATGGCAGAAATTAGTGCTGCATTTAAAAGATGCAGTGGTGATGGTTACCATCACATCACCATTTAATGCTTCTTCCATTGTAGGTGCTCCCATTATTATTATTAATGAAGGACACTTTATGTCCTTTTCCACTGATCCACTCACATGCTTCTATCCCAGACCTTCTTCTCTCACATCTGATCTTTTCCCTCCCAATTCGTGACCAGCCGGCCAAGCCATTAACCACTGCCCATAAATCCATGTATATTTCAACTTCAGACAACTCTTTCCAGGAAAAGTGAATAACCAGATGCATTGCTTAAAGCCTCTATCCCCATGCCCCACCCTGGAGACGTGGACAGGATTTCATCCTCACCCTCCTCTTTCAAGGCCACCCTAAGTAAGAGTAAAATGTAGCTGCACATGAAAAGATGTTCAACATAACTAACCATCAGGGAAATGCGAGTTAACCACAATAAGATATCACCTCACACCTATTTTAATGTCTATTATCAATATTAAATAAATAATAATTTACAAATGATTAAATAAATAGGAGAGGAAAAAAACCTCTTCTTTACTGTAAGACACCAACAAATAAATAATTAATGGACTTAGAAAATTATCATTTGGTAACTGTCATACTTGATTCTTTGGCATTACCTTTCTTTGTGATTGGAATGAAAATTGACCTTTTCCAGTCCTGTGGCCACTGCTGAGTTTTCCAAATGTGCTGGCATATTGAGTGCAGCACTTTCACAGCATCATCTTTTAGGATCTGAAATAGCTCACCTGGAATTCCATCACCTCCAGTAGCTTTGTTCGTAGCGATGCTTCCTAAGGCCCACTTGGCTTCACATTCCAGGATGTCTGGCTCTAGGTGGGTGATCACACCATCGTGGTTACATGGGTCATGAAGATCTTTTTTTTATAGTTCTTCTGTGTGTATTCTTGACACCTCTTCTTAATCTCTTCTGCTTCTGTTAGGTCCATACAATTTCTGTCCTTTATTGTGCCCATCTTTGCTTGAAATGTTCTCTTGGTATCTCTAATTTTCTTGAATAGCTCTCTAGTCTTTCCCATTTGATTAATTTCCTCTATTTCTTTGCACTGGTCACCAAGGAAGGCTTTCTTCTCTCTCCTCGCTATTCTTTGAAACTCTGCATTCATATGGGTATATCTTTTTCTTCTATCCTTTGCCTTTCACTTCTCTTCTTTTCTCAGCTATTTGTAAGGCCTCATCAGATAACCATTTTGCCTTTTTGCATTTCCTTTTCTTGGGGAGGGTCTTGATCACTGCCTCATGTACAATGTCATGAACCTCCTTCCATAGTTCTTCAGGCACTCTATCAGCTCTAATCCCTTGAATCTATTTCTCACTTCCACAGTATAATTACAAGGGATTCAATTTAGGTCATACCTGAATGTGTTCTAGTGATTT